GGCGGCACACACAAGTAACAGTCTCCCTCGGCACTAACAGTCAATGCATACATGGCAGCAATAATAGCATCATAGTCAAGAGCAAAGATATCAACACCAGCCCTCATGAGCTCAGCCCAGCGGGGGCGCTCAACATCCTCGCCCATCTCCTCACGCCAAGCGTCGTCAAGGCGGGAGAAGCAGCGGTACGGGGTGTGGAACCTCCCACACGTCTGTCCCTTGCGGTCACCTGTGCGAATGACATAGGAACAGCGGCCACTGCCCCCCGACGTCCCACGCTGAGCAAGCCACTCACGAAGCTGTTGGGTCGTCTGGGGACGCTGCTGCTGCTGGGAGCTCTGGCCCGAGCCAGTGCCTCCACTCCGACCTCCGCCGCCACCACTACCACCGCTCCGACCGCCACCGCCACCACCGCCACCACCGCCACCACCGCCACCGCCGCCACCGCCGCCGCCGCCACTACTGCCACTGCTTCCTCCGCCGCCCCCGCCTCCACCGCCGACCCCACTCCCACCAGCGCTCCCGCCACCGCTCCCTCCAGCACCGCCTCCCCCCCCACCTCCCCCACCTCCTCCCCCCCCAGCGCCACCCCCGCCACCCTTGCCCCCCTTGCCCTTGCCGGTGCGGCGCCTCCCACCAGGAGCAGAAGCAGCGCCAGCAGACTCAGCACCAAGGAAGTCAACAGCAGCAGCAGTAGCGTAGGAGGGAGCGAGGGGAGAGGGAGAACACCCCTCAAAGATGGGGGTGCGAGGAGCGCCACGAGCAGCACCGACAGCGACAATGCTCTTTTCGGCCGCTAGCAGCTGCTCCTCTAGGAGGGCGACTGTGAGCTCAGTGGGACAGCGAGCAAGGAAGTGGTCTCGAACTGAGCTGAGGGTGTCAGGGAGACGGGTGACTATGAAGTGGAGTGTCCAGTACAGTGGAGGGGGATTCTTAGCGCAGAACTCAGTGGGAAGGGCGGCACGCAGGCGAGCATCACTAGTGCGAAGGTGAGTGATAAGATCGGCGACTGTAGCAAAGGTGGACAGCTCAGGGAACAGGTACGGCAGCATGAGGCGGCTAAGCTCGGCTGTGGCAGGCGAGGAGTAGCGAGCAACGACAGCATCGTACAGGGCCTTAGCGGATTTGCAGTCGCCAAAATGCTCGAGCTCAGCTAGCGGCAGGTGACTGCGAATGGCTAGGCGAGCAGCTGCGTCACGAGTCTGCCAGTGGGAACGAACACTAAGCTCAGCTGTGGCAGGAGGGGCAGGTGCAGCACCAGACGCGTAATCATAGAGCGACACATGCTCCTTGCTATCGCTCAGAAGGAACAGCTGCAGGTCATCCAGCCAAGTGGCGAACTTCACAGGGCGGCCCTCAGCATCGAACGACAGCACGCGGATGGAAGCCATAGCGACAGTGCGACTGAGCAAAGGAAGCTGCCGCAGCGCTGCAGGTAGGTAGCTCGGCGGGAAGCGCGGCGGGCGGGCGACGCGGCGAGCGGGCAGTGCGGGGGGCGGGCTGCGAAGCGGGCAGCGCGGTGCTGCAGGCGGGAAGTGCGGCGGGCGGGCTGCGAAGCGGGCAGCGGGGCGGGCGGGCGACGCGGCGAGCGGGCAGCGCGGCGGGCGGCTGCGAAGCGGGCAGCGGGCGGGCGGGCGACGCTGCAAGCGGGCAGCGGGCGGGCGGGCGACGCTGCAAGCGGGCAGCGAGGCGGGCGGGCGACGCTGCGAGCGGGCAGCGCGGCGGGCGGGCTGCGAAGCGGGCAGCGGGCGGGCGGGCGACGCTGCAAGCGGGCAGCGAGGCGGGCGGGCGACGCTGCGAGCGGGCAGCGCGGCGGGCGGGCGACGCTGCGAAGCGGGCAGCGGGCGGGCGGGCGACGCTGCAAGCGGGCAGCGGGCGGGCGGGCGACGCTGCGAGCGGGCAGCGCGGCGGGCGGGCTGCGAAACGGGCAGCGCGGTAGGCGGGCGACGCTGCGAGCGGGCGGCTCGGCGGGCGGGCGACGCTGCGAGGGGCGCGCGAGGGCGCTAACGAGAGGCGCACGAGGGCGCTAACAAGGGGGGCTCGAGGGCGCTAGCGAGGGCGCGCGAGGGCGCTAACGAGGGGCGCGCGAGGGCGCTAACGAGGGCGCGCGAGGGCGCTAACGAGGGCGCGCGAGGGCGCTAACGAGGGCGCACGAGGGCGCTAACGAGGGCGCACGAGGGCGCTACGAGGCTAGGGCACGGGGTAGCGTGGTAACCGCATGCGAGCGGTGGTGGGCCCTTAAAAAAAAACGGTCGGTAGGTCCTAGGGACCTCCTGCTCTGAATACCATGTTAACAGAACTAGGCAAGAATGAATGGATTGAAAGAAACAGTTGGGTACAAGTAGCTAACCCTAGTTGGGTTTGTACCCTGTATTGGCTACCCCACTACAGCCTACCTACATATAAATAACACATTACAACTTAACATCACCCACCGCCAAGGCAACTCGTCCTCTGCCTGGCTAGCTCTAGCTGGGTTTCTCACGCTGACGTTCAGTAGCACTGGAGGAGGGCTAAGAGGTGGTGCAGTGGTTAATTGCCTAGTAAAATACCAACTATATGTGCGCTGCAGTGCTGCGGCTGCTCTGCTATGCTAAACAGAGTCTGGTCTGGTCTCTGTGTGCTAAAATCAGAACCCTGAAAACTATTATTTTTGCCCTGACAGGTCAGGATTAGTTTCTGCAAAAGCCCTGACCAATCAGGAAGGCTCTGAAGATTTGCCCTGAGAAATCAGGGCATTTTTTAAGATTCTAGAAAAGTGCCCTGAGGGCTCAGGGTGCCCCAAAACCTAGCACGGGCCCTGTTTTTATCGACAATGATTACAATCATCAATCTTTCGGTTATCTGTCTTGGCTTGCTATTGAACAAAATGGGTGTATCTTTATCTCAGTTAATGAGAAATTTTTGTCGCTCCGATGGTCAGTGTGTGATGTTGCGAAAACAATGATTCGTGCACTCACGCGCAATCAACGAAAACAGATGTCGGGCCGCGACGTTGATAGGCAAGCAGTCGGGCAAGCAACATTCTCTTCCCGCCTTTCATCAACCGACGCGCCGCCACATCAAATTCCAACATTCGGAATTAAAGGGCCGTCACTCAATCCCCCCCACACTGTCGGCAATTGCGAAGTGGACCATCATCAGCCCCATTTCCCTCCCTTCCACAGCTGCCTTTCTCCTCGCGCTATCCCTTCATTCCAAGGATAAAGCTCCACGATCACCATATATCGACGCGTAGCCGTTGTGGTACTAGCTGAAATACCTAAGTTCTGGCATTAACCAGGCTGCGTGCTCACTCGGCGCAAACCCGCGAGCATCGTGACAGACATCTCATCAGCAATGGGACAACGGCACCATGGTAGGAGACGAGCCCACCAATACTTCCACTGAGTCTTTACTGCACAAGCAAGCTAATGCATGACTACGAAAATCGCACTTCCAGATGGTCTTTGACGAAAGATGTTCGTAGTTAGACGCAGTCATATGAAAGCGTTAGCTTTATCTTGTTCCGGTTCCGTGCCTTTCAGGTGCCAAGAGTGCTCTCCTGGTGGCTCTTCTCTTCGGCCTGTTCGCCTCATGCTCGCACTCGTGGCAAGTCAAGTGCACTAGCGGGCCCCTCTCCGGCTCCATTGGCCGAACCGTCAGTGAGTCCCTGTGCACTAATTTCAGAATTTCGTATCCTACTCGCACCGTTTCTCACACTGATAGCAGTTGTCTCCTAACCATGCGTACCGCACACACACTCCTCAATGATTTTCTTTTCCGCACACTCCTGTATCTGATAATCCATGTCTACCGCTCGCGCACTCCTCAATAACTCTCTCACCCGTCCCATCTGCCCTTGCCATCCCTGATGAGCAGGCGTCACGAGGGCAGTGCTGAAGCAGCAGCGCATTCCTGGGTTCGTCTTCGGGAGGAGAGATGCCGATGGTGTTCTCACCATCACCGTTTACAAGTAAGCCCGCCATTATGAAACAATATCTACGCTATTGAAATTTATGAAAGCCCTCCCCTTGTTTAATAGTCTGCATGTGAGTCACAGCGTGCGAGACGCACAGTGTGACATGCGTTGGACGCATGAATCACGTCCGTGAGAGGCAGCGGTACTAACGACGCGCCATGATCTCACGTGCGTGCGTGCAGGAGAGGCAACAACATCAACGTGAAATTCCGCCTTATCACAGAAAGCGTCTTCATCCCCACCACTCGGTACATCAACTTCGGTCCCGTGGGTTATGACGGCCCGCCGCTGCTTTCGATCCCGGGTAGAGGCCGCATGCGCTGGCGCTTCGACGGGCCTAAGTACTGGATCACGGGATGGGTCATGAACGCGCAACGGAAGCCATCGCTAAACGCTAGCAGGAGTGTAGCGGATGTGCTACAGGAGATTGACGCGAATCCTGGAACGCATTACGCGATTGTGAACAGCGCGGCGAATTGGAAGGGTGCGATTCGGGGGCAGCTGAGACGAGCGTTTTTCGTGCCGTGCGTGGCGGGGCGTGGGAGGCGGTTTCTCTTAGACTCACCATAGAGCACACCTTGTGTGATGGTTGATATACGGATAGGTAGCAGGAGTGTAGCGGATGTGCTACAGGAGATTGACGCGAATCCTGGAACGCATTACGCGATTGTGAACAGCGCGGCGAATTGGAAGGGTGCGATTCGGGGGCAGCGAGACGAGCGTTTTTCGTGCCGTGCGTGGCGGGGCGTGGGAGGCGGTTTCTCTTAGACTCACCATAGAGCACACCTTGTGTGATGGTTGATATACGGATAGGTAGAAGGTACGGTAGTGTGGAATAGGAGTGAGGACTCTAACCAGAGGGGTTTCGAATTGTAGCAGCTTGACAGTATATACTTGTACACAGCATTTATACGGTCGTCTCATTTGTTCTTGCACTTTCAACAGCGAGGCAGTTCAGGTGTACTGTCTGCAAGGCTCCTATCCTTCTTTTGCAAGATGCACAGAGAAAGAATTTTGTACACAATGTAACGTCTGACATTCATGCATCTTCCTTGGTACTACCAGCAGCTATGCCATCCTCATCGCAACCCCAATCTTCCGCAGCCAAATCCCTATCATGCAGCAAACCATCACTCTCCAAAGGCATCACATCAATGTTCACATCCTCCTTGTCACGTGGCACGTCCTCTCCCCCCGAAACATCTCCCACTGCTACTTCCTTTACTGAAGCATCTCTTAGCGAAGCCTCTCGCAGCGAGCCATCTCGGGCAAGAGCAGAGCGCAGGGAAGCCTCAGCAGATCGGCCGGTGTTGGAGATCATGCGAGAGAAGGAACCCACTCGGTCTGCTGCCAGCTGCTGCGGTGACCCAAACTGCACCACGCGGCCCTGCTCTAGCACCAACACCTGGAGAATAGCCAGAGGAAGGAGAATTCAAAAAGCAACATGGGGACAGGCATGTGTTGATTCTCCAGGTTGCATGTTGCAAGAGCAATTCTACAGATTAGATGTGCCAGGCAGCACAGTAACCAGTGCAGGTAGCTGCTGTTAGCGAAATAGAGAGATTCCACCTTATCCGCAAGCAAGAAAAGGACTCTCACCTCATCGGCATCGATGATGGTGTGCTGGTGGTGCGCGATGGTGATGACGGTGCTGGCAGCAAACTGGCACCAGTGAACCCAGCACATACCAGAGCGTGTTTCCCAATTGCCAACATTCACGGTAGAGAACACTTCCTCCCCCTTCCTCCGACCCACCTTATCCGCGTCGATGATGGTGTGTAGGCGGTGCGCAATGGTGATGACGGTGCTGGCAGCGAACTGGCGGCGAATGGTGGTTTGGATGAGCGCGTCTGTGGCCATGTCCACGTTGGCTGTCGCCTCGTCCATCAGCAGAATGCGACTGCGGTGCAGCACGGCACTGAGGGGTGGGAAGAGAGGGAGAGGAGGGGAGTGGGGTGGACGGGAGCAGAGGAAGAAGGGTTGTTTCAGGGATGAGTGCATCTGCGGCCATGCCCACGTTGGCCGTCGCCTCGTCCATCAGCAGGATGCAACTGCGGTGCAGCACGGCACTGCGGGGAGGGGAAGGAGGAGGAGGGAGTAGGGGGGAGGAGGAAGGAAGGAGGAGAAGGGGTTGTTTTTCATTTTTTTTTTTTTAACAAAACACATTTGGAATGCCTGCAGAACAGGGCCAAGAGGGACCAATGGGAGGGAGCAAGGAGGAGGGATGGTGGTTTGGATGAGCGTGTATGTGGCCATGTCCACGTTGGCTGTCGCCTCGTCCATCAGCAGGATGCGACTGCGGTGCAGCACGGCGCTGTTGGGAGGGAAGTGAGGGGAGGCTAACGAGGGGAAAACTGGGGGGTGGGGAGGGATGTTTCAGAAGAAACATCTGGTATGCCTGCAGATCAACAAGGAAAATCAGACACCAGGCGGGGGCAAAGAGGAGGGGGCGGCAGACTGGTGGCAAATGCGGATCCATGCATGCACATACGCATATACATAAAGACAAAACAGCGAGCAGCCACTCACCGTGCAAGGCACACGAGCTGCCGCTGTCCCACAGAAAAGTTCTCCCCAAACTCGCTCATGCTCGCCTCCAGCCCTCTCTGCAGCCCGCCCGCCTTGCCTCTCAGCTGCACTGCGTCTAGCGCCTCCCATAGTGCTGCGTCCGGGTGTTGACTGAGAAGGAGGGTAGAGGTAAGGAGAGCGTGCGACAAGGAAATGAGGATTTTAGCAGACGGGTGATCAGTGTGGGAAAAAAACGATGAGTCGGACGCATGGTGAATATTTCGAGCACGGAAATGATAAGGACGCACTCCAAAGCGGGTATTGAGGATTACCAAAAACCACCTCCAACGGCAAAGATTTAAATGCAATTGACACTATTTCTGGGGATTCCGAAGCTTGCTGCTAGCTAGCAAAACAGATCTGGACGCACTTGAAAGGATCGAGGTTGAATCGGAGTGAGCTGCCAAACAGCACAGGATCTTGAGGAATTGCCATAACCTGTATGATGTGCAGCGAGAGAGGAAGGGATGGAAAGAGAAGGGGGACGGGAAGGGAGTGAAGCTAAGAAAACTTGCCCGCACGCAGGAAACACACTGAAAACAGAGACAACAAACAAACCAACGAGGAAAGCAAAACGAAGCAGTGGTGTTGCAACTGTTACTGGTAGTTGAAGCTCGAAAGGTCGAACAATAATGTTAAACTTGCGCCGACTTCAAAGCCTAGAAAGAAAGGCAGCCGCAAAGCAAGTACGGGCCCATACAACCCGCACATTTCTGCGAAGGCGCGTGAGGGAGATGGTGGCAGTGTCGACACCGTCTATGAGGATACAGCCACCGGACGGTTGCACGAGACGGAACAGCGCGAGCATGAGCGTTGACTTGCCGGCACCTGGTAACATGGTGGGGGTGGAATGGATGGGGCAAGGTGACGGTGGAGTAAGTGTGCTGGAGAGATGGTTGGTCTATGAGGATACAGCCACCGGATGGCTGCACGAGACGAAAGAGCGCGAGCATGAGCGTTGACTTGCCCGCGTCTGACAGTGTGATGGGGATTGAGTGGAGGTGAATGAGGGCGAGGCGTGCGGAGACGATGGGGTAAGAAAGGGGGAGGATAGGAGGGAGAGACATGGGATCTAGAGAGGAGTTAGGTCACAAAACGTTAGGTCCATTCCACTGATAAAAAGTAACCACTGGTTAGCAGCGGCAGGCAGGCAGGCAGGCGGGCAGACAAGTACAGCAGCACTCACCGGTGCGCCCCACAACGCCGCACTTCTCCCCTCCCTGTAGTTGAAAGCTCACGTCCTGCAACACAGGATCCAAGGTGGGTCTATACCGCACTGTCAACCCCTGCACCCTCACTGCTCCCTCGTTCGGCCACCCAGGAGGCACCTCCCCTTGCTCCTCCACTCCTCCTCCTCTCCCCTGCTCGCCCTTCTCCTCCCACCGCTTCTGCTTTTCATTTTTCCCGCAGAGCCCCCCTTTGAGACGACTCCTCCTCTTGTTGCCACCTCCCTTCCCACTGCCTCCCTGCCCCTCTTCCTGTCCTCCCATCTCCAACCCCTCCTCCTGTGGTAAGTGTGTGTACTCCAGTGCTCGCTCAACACCCGTGAACTGCGGAGAAAGGGAAAGACAGGCCAGAAGAGGGATATGCGTTATGAGAAAGTAAGAACAACGGGATGTGACCGGGCTTGTGCAAGCATCATAGTAAACAAGTAATGCCTCATGCCTGTGAATGATGCAGGCAAGGGGAAGGACCGGCACAGGGAACAGAACAGAGCCGCTTTTCTCACCATGTTTTCAACCTCTGCTCCTTGCCTGACCGCCCACTGCAGCATGCCCGACATTTGCAGCGTGTAGCTGAGAGCCAGCGCCACTAGTCCAGGAGGCAGAGTCGTCCTGAGCGCGACAGCGAGCGTGGCGACGAGAAACACGACGGCAGAGTGAGGCGAGGGGGCGACTCACCGTGTGGCCTTCATTTTCACAACACAACGCAGGGAAGCCGAGGGAAGGGGAAGGACAGGCAGAAAGAGAAAAGAGCAGCCATATCTCACCATGTTCTCAACCTCCGCTCCTTGTCTGACCGCCCACTGCAGCATGCCAGACATCTGCAGCGTGTAGCTGAGAGCCAGCGCCACAAGGCCAGGCGGGAGGGTGGTTCTGAGCGCGACGGCGAGTGTGGCGACGAGGAACACGACGGCTGAGACGATTGTGTCGAGACGGAAGGCGAGCCAGCGGGAGGCTGCTAGCCAGCAGTAGAAGGCGCGGCCGTTGGCGTTGAGGAGGCGGTGGAATATGGTGGCGGACTGCTGCTGCGCTCCGAACGCTCTGATCGTTGTCAGGCCCTGCGGCATGGGAGGGATGTGACAGTGGGTGGGCACAGGGATGGAAATGCAGGGGGTGGGAGAGAGGAAGGCTCTTGAGATTTATCAAGGTATATTGTGTTGTGCGTGCGCCACAGGGGGACGGAAGGCGAGCCAGCGGGAGGCTGCTAGCCAGCAGTAGAAGGCGCGGCCGTTGGCGTTGAGGAGGCGGTGGAATATGGTGGCGGACTGCTGCTGCGCTCCGAACGCTCTGATCGTTGTCAGACCCTGCAGTAAGATAGTGGATAGGGATGAGAGAGTGGGCAGTACAGAGCGGGGAATGCAGGGAGTGGGAGGAAGGGAGGTTGGTGAGATCTCTCAGAACAGGCAGGAGGGGTTGCGTGCGGGCTAGGGGCAACAGACCCACCTGGATGGTGGCGGCATAGCGTGCGTACACAGGGCTGCGCGTGACCGCTGGTGCTGGAGGTGAGACTCTGGAGACTGTGGTGTAGACGGTGGACTGTGGAGGTGAGACTGCTGGTAGTGCAAGGGGCGATTGACCCACCTGGATGGTGGCGGCGTAGTGCGCGTACACAGGGCTGCACGTGATGGCCTCTAGGCGCTTGGCCTCACGGGGACGTGCAGAGGAAAGCGGTATTGGAGGCAACCAGGGTTTTGCTACCCTGGGGGAACAAGGACTGGGGACTTGGGTTTGTGGGCAGGGGACCAGGTCTGGTCCGGGGATTGGGAACTGTGAGCCGTGAAGTGTGAACCGTACAAGGGACTGGGGCACCCACCTGGATGGTGGCAGCGTAGTGCGCATACACAGGGCTGCGCGTGATGGCCTCCAGTCGCTTGGCCTCACGGGACGTGCAGAGGAAGACGTAGCGCAGGCGGAGGAAGAGCAGGAAGAGAAAGGCCATGGGGATGAGGATCCACGGCACTCCCAGTGCCACCATCACTATCGCGCCCACCGCCAGGCTGAGCGTCTGAAGAGAGGGAAGGGTTGAGGGGGAAAAAATGGGGCACCACTGTCAATAGAGCAAGAAGAGCAGGAAGAGCAGGGAGAGCAGGCAGAGCAGGCAGAGCAGGCAGAGCAGGAAGAGAAGCGCCATGGGGATGAGGATCCACGGCACTCCCAGCGCTACCATCACTATCACGCCCACTGCCAGGCTGAGCGTCTGTGAGTGGGAGGGATTTGAGGAGGAGATGATGGGAAGAAGGGGGAAGGAGGCGGGGGGGATGGTATTGGTGGGTTGACAAAAAAATTATGGAGAATCCAGCCAGGTCACGCCTATTGAGCGATTTTTTATAATTCTCAAAAGTCACGCCCAGCCCAGCGCCACCACCACTATGGTCCCCTCCCCACTGCCTGAGTGGGTGAGCGTCCAGAATCCTCTAATCTGCAGGAAACGGGTTGAGCACGCGGGCTATGAGACCACTCCCAAGACACCCCCACCACCCACACAGCACCCGCAACCCCCTAACCCCTACCTCAACCACACACCTGCAGGTAGTTGAAGAGCGTGAAGGGCAGCAGATCATCCAGAATCCCCTGGTCCGCCGAGAAGCGGTTGAGAATCCGGCCGATGGGGTTGGCGTGGAAGAAGGCGAGCGGTGAGCCGAGCATGCAGGCGAGCATGGCGGAGTGGATGCGCGAGGCAGCGAGCACACACCACCGGAAGAAGAGGCCCGAGCGCACGAAGGAGGTGACGACTCCGGTGAGGACGAGCGCCGTGTAGATGGGGCGGTATGGACCGGATTGGTCCTTTTTCTGGGACCAGAAGGCCAGGAACCTGGAAGCGAGAGGTGGGATTGGGGGACGGGGGGATGGGGACACGGAGGAGATGAGAGGACGGAGGAGATGAGAAGATGGAGTAATGGGGCGTGGGGCATGGGGAGTGGGAAATGGGATGTTGGGGGAAGGAAGGAGATGGTGACGAAAGGACCATTCGAAAGGGTACATTTGATGGCCACTCGAGAGAGGGGAGTGTTGTCTTTCTAGGTGCTTCAAAAAAGTAAGGGAGGAGCGGGGAGTAGGGAGCGGGGAGTAGGAGTGGGGAGTAGGAGTGGGGAGTAGGAGTGCGCGTGAGGAACTGGGAGTGGAGTGGAGAGAGGCGAGTGGGGAGTGAGGGAGAGAAATACCTCTCTGTGAGGCACTTACCAGTCGCCGGCACAGGCAAGGGTTTGTCCAAGGGCGAGGAGGAGGACGAGCAGCAGCGACTGCCACAAGCCCACCCTCTTTGCATATCCCAGGTACACTCGCAGGCTCACCATGCCCTCCTCCTTCCGCTCCTTCTGCACCAGCCCTGCGGAAGAGAGGGAGGGAGGGAGGGAGGGAGGGGGAAATATAAAATGGGTGAGAGGGAGGAGTGGAGGAGTGACGAGGGTTTAAACAATGGTTGAGAATGCTTGGGGTCTCTTCGGCACTGCTAGTAATGGTGTGAAAGAGTCACTTCTAAGAAAACTAAAAAAGGGCTCCAATGAGACCGAAAGGTGGACTTGTGTGAAATGGCAGGCAATATGCTCTCTGCACTTTCACTTGCTCACTCTTGCTTCACCCGGGTCCCCCCCTCCAACCTTTTTCCCCCACACGTTTACCTACACACTCCCCCCACCCACACTCCCCCCACCCACACTCCCCCCACCCACACTCCTCCCACCCACATTCCCCTCACTCACACTACCCTCAAACACACACTCCCCACCCTACACCCTCGTCAACAATCCCCACCAGCCCACCTTGTCCCACGTCATCTTCCTCAGTCCCCTCACCACCCCCTTTCCCTCTCCCATCCCCTCCTTCCTCCCCCTCTCCATCCCCCTCCTCCCCGTCCCCCTCTCTCGGCTGCCTGTGCACGAAGCTCCCCATGATGCTACGGCTGCGGGACAGCTTCGGCCCTCCTCCCCCTCCCCCCCTGCTGCTGCCACTGCGCCCTAGCGACCGGTCTCGCTGGGTCATGCTGCGAAGCCGCCGCAGCAGCCGCTCTTGGAAGCTTGGGTCATGCTGAGAGGAGGAAAGAGCACAGGTGGATGCGGGGTGAGCGCTGTGCTGGCTGCTTTCTGCTGCATTTTGAGTCGACTCAAAAGTCAGCTCATGCTGAGAGGAGGAAAGAGCACAGGTGGATGCGGGGTGAGCGCTGTGCTGGCTGCTTTCTGCTGCATTTTGAGTCGACTCAAAAGTCAGCTCATGCTGAGAGGAGGAAAGAGCACAGGTGGATGCGGGGTGAGCGCTGTGCTGGCTGCTTTCTGCTGCTCCTGCTGCTCCTGCTGCTGCTGCTGGTGCGGGTGCTGCAGCTGCTGCTGATTCCGGTGCTGCTGGTTGGGTTAAAGCTGCAGCATTTGCAGAGGGGATAATATCCCCACCACTAGTGACGGGCGAGCTCCTGCTTTCACCAGAAACGACGTTCTTCTTCTTACTCCCACTTAGTCCCTTCAGAGTAACACCTTCAGTAGCATCACCGCCAGTGCCGTCTTCATCTCCATCCTCCCCAACCGTGAACAAGCACTGACGCTGCAACCGCACTCCACCTTCCCCCACTCCTCCCTTCTCCCTGCCGTCTCCCCCTTCCGCGCCACCAGCAGCTAGCAAATCTTCCTCCTCTCCCAACCCCTCTACCTCCCCCTCTCCCTCATCCCCCTCCCCTTCGTCCCCTCCCAGCAGCCCCTGAAAGTCAACCTGACTTGCCAGATCCGCATAGGGACCCAGGGCCACTGGTTTTCCCCCATCCAGTACTAGCACTCGGTCGCAGCTGGGAGGGGAGAAGGGAAAAGGAAGGGGGAAAAGGAGAGAGGGAGAGAGAGGTGCGGTTGGGGGAAGAGTAAAATGGGGCCCGCGCGCACGCATGCACGCACGCATACTGGTAAATGATTCCTCCACCACCCCTCACCTCCTGCCAAACACGCCACCTCTTATCTCCTACACCCATCCCAAAACCCCACACACTCGCTCTCCCTCACCTGGCCAGGTACTGTAGCTGGAGAGTCACAAAAAAATGGCCTTCCCCCCCACGACCCACCCCCTCCCCCTCACCTGGGCAGGTACTGCAGCTGGTGAGTGACAACAATCCTGGGCCTTCCACTCATCACCCCCCGAATGCACTGCTCAAACAGGTGCCGCCCCACAGCCGGGTCCACCGCAGAGAGCGGGTCATCCAGCAGCAATAGAGCAGCGTCTACGGCGTATGCTGCCCGCGCCAGCCCCACCCGCGCCTTCTGCCCGCCGCTCAGGTTCACGCCTCGTTCGCCGATCTCCGTGAGGTCCCCTCGCGGCCAGTTGGCTATGTCTCGACGCAAGGCGCATGCGTCTAACACCTGTGGGGAGGAATGGAAGAGGTGGGGGGGTTGAAGAGCAAGGAGGCCTTCTGCCCGCCGCTCAGGTTCACTCCTCGTTCGCCGATTTCTGTGAGGTCGCCCCGCGGCCAGTTGGCTATGTCCCGACGCAAGGCGCATGCGTCCAGGACCTGTGGGGGGAGGAGGGGGATGGAAGGGGTGGGGGGTGTGAAAGGCAGACGAACTTCTGCCCGCTGCTCAGAAGTTCGCCTCCTCATTCGTCGATCTCTGTGAGGTCGCCCTTCGGCCAGTTGGCAAAGTCCCGCCGCAGGACGCAATGTCACGACCCGAAACACAATGTCCCCACGCAGGGCGCATGCCTCCAGGACCTGGGAGGGTGCGGGGAGGGAGGGATGGAGGGAAAAAGGGAGGGAGGGAGGGAGGGGACGGGAGGGAGGGAGGGAGGGGAGAGGAGGGAGGGAGGGAGGGGGAGGGAGGGAGGGAGGGAGGGAGGGAGGGAGGGAGGGAGGGAGGGGAGGGAGGGGGGAGGGAGGGAGGGAGGGGAGAGGGGAGGGAGGGAGGGAGGGAGGGAGGGGACGGGATGGAGGGAGGGAGGGGAGAGGAGGGAGGGAGGGAAGGGGGGGGAGGGGGACCAGGAACGAAGAGGGAAGGATGAGAAGGAACAGCCCTCAGAAGTTATTACAATGGAAACCAGTTATGTCGGCGATAAAGACATGTGGATATTGTGTCAATCCTTGAAACCAATCAAGAAAAGCTTGAAAGAAAGAGAGTCAACTAGGTGAGAGGGGAGTGGGGGGTCACCTGGTTGTAGAGATCTGCTTGGAATGGACGGCCAAAGATGATGTTGTCCTTGAGTGTTCCAGCCATGATAAACGGCTGAGATGTGATGCATGCACACATCGTGTCGGGGCAGCACACCCCACAGCAACGCACCACACCGCACCACCCCACACCATACCATGCCACACGGGATCATGCAGCACCGGAACCAAACAAAAAAAGGCACAAAGAATGTCAAAATGCGTTCTCAATAAACCATAGAAACACCACCAAACCGCACAAAACTGCAGCAGAGCCTTGCACGGACGAGTAACCAATAAAATCAGATGCATATGAGACGGTCAGGGATCAGAAGAAAGCGAAACCCTAAGGTCCCTCAATCGCACCCACCTTCTGAGCAGCATATGCGATATTCTCTGCTTGGCACACCAACTCTCCCCCCATCAACTCAGCGTCTCCCAAAATGCCCGCCAGCAGCGTGGATTTTCCTGCTCCCACCTGCGATAGGGGATTGGGAGGGGGAGGGGAGGGCCGAGGGGCAGGGGGGCCAGGGGCAGGGGGCAGGAAGCAAGGGGGCACGGGGCAGGGGGCAGGGGGCAGGGAACAGAGGTCAAAATCGGTGTGAGAAGAAAGCAGAGAACGCCCGAGGGACGGAATGCAGAAGAATCAGAAGAATCAAGACGCAAAGAACGACCGAAGAAACAGCAAGGCAAAGTTCCATTAGGAGATGCATTCGCCTTTCTTTACCGTTCGCTATCCTGTCCCCACCCACGATTGTTAACGTCCCCCTCCTCCTCCCCCCCTTCTCCTGCCTCACTCCCTCCCCCCTCCAGAGAATCTCCCTTCCCCAGGTCTCACCTTCCCTGTGACGCCCAGCAGTTCTCCCTCCCCCAGACTGAAGCTCACACATTCTAATGGCACCACCACCCCTTCCTCCTCCTCCTCCTGCTCCTGCTCCTGCTCGCACCCCTCCTCTCCCCTCCCCTCGCTCCCTCACTCTTCCCCCCTTCGCCCTTCTCATCCACTTCCTCCTCTTTTGCCCCTCACCCTTGATGCTGCCACTGCTGTTACCAGCATTGCTGCCACCACAACCACCACCATCACCACCACCACTACCATGACCGTTCATCTCCCCATTCGAATCTGAGTTACCATGCCCATTCACTGCCCCATTCACTGCCCCATTCACCTCCCCATTCATCTCTCCACCACCACCACTGCCACCGCTGCCATCCTTCTCCTGCCCCTTGCCCCCTGTCGCCTTCTCCTTCTCTGCAGCGCCCACGCACCACCCAAACGTCGCATTCACCATTGCACACACACTGTTCTGCCGTCCTCCCACCTGCTCTGCCCGCTCACCAGCAGCACCACCAACAACAGCAGAAGCACCAGCAGAACCACCGCCAGCAGCAGCAGCAGCAGCAGCAGGCAGGAACAGAAGCAGAAGCAAGAAGTGAAGGAGCAGATGCTATAGAGGCATGTGTTGACGCTGCCTCTCTTCCCGGATCCTGTTCCTGCAGTAGTACCTTCCCTACTGCCTCCTCTTCTCCCTCTCCCCCTCCTGTGCCTGTGTTATTGTCATTAGGTGATGCCACTGGCACTGCTCCATCCCTCCTATTCGTGCTGTTTGATAGCTGATACAGACAAATCAGAGGGGGAGATGAAGAAATGGAAGGATGAACACGAGGGACCAGGCGGGAATTGAAAACGGGTCATCAGGGCCAAAGGGGAGAAAGATGACGGAACGACAGGGGAAGGGAGGCACAAAGGTGCGTACACATGCTTCCATCCCCATCCTTGTCGCACCCATGCAATGCCCATCACACCCACAATTTCCACATCCCTGCTCTCACCCGCACGAATGGCTAGAGCCATGAAAAGCTCACAGAATTTGAGCATTTATAAGTTTGTCTTGAGATGTCCCAACCAAACCGTCCTCCATAGCCCCTGCCTTCTCTCTCACCCGCATGAATGCCTCTAACCGTGAGAAGCTGACAGCCGCCTCTGCCACTCGCTCTATACCCGTAGGGAAGAACACACACATGTACAGGCGCGGCAGCTGGGGAAGGGGGAACGGAGATGGGGTGTGGCCGGAAGGGGGGTTGGGGAGGAGGGCAGGGAACCGCGTGTGAGGAGAAGCAGGCAGCATGTCGTGCCACTCGCTCGATGCTCGTTGGGAAGAACACACACATGTACAGGCGCGGAATCTGGGGGGGAAAGGAAATGGGGATGCGGATGGAAGGGGGGGGGAGACACAGCAGGGGTGTGTATGTGTGTGTGTGTGTGTGTGTGTGTGTGTGTGTGTGTGTGTGTGCACGTTCGCGCGCGTGATTTCACTTTCACAGAAGTGACTGGAGGCTGGACTGGAGGCTGGACTGGAGTAGTCGAGCAGGAGACAAGTGTGGGTGGAGAGACAGAAAAACAGCTCACCCAGAAAGTAACTTCAAAAATACCACCTGCACCCCTCACCTGCACCCCTCACCTGCACCCCTCACCTGCACCCCTCACCTGCACCCCTCACCTGCGCCCCTCACCTGCGCCCCTCACCTGCACCCCTCACCTGCACCCCTCACCTGCACCCCTCAGCTGCACCCCTCACCTGCACCCCTCACCTGCACCCCTCACCTGCACCCCTCACCTGCACCCCTCACCTGCGCCCCTCACCTGCGCCCCTCACCTGCGCCCCTCACCTGCGCCCCTCACCTGCGCCCCTCACCTGCACCCCTCACCTGCACCCCTCACCTGCACCCCTCACCTGCACCCCTCACCTGCACCCCTCACCTGCACCCCTCACCTGCACCCCTCACCTGCGCCCCTCACCTGCGCCCCTCACCTGCGCCCCTCACCTGCGCCCCTCACCTGCGCCCCTCACCTGCACCCCTCACCTGCACCCCTCACCTGCACCCCTCACCTGCACCCCTCACCTGCACCCCTCACCTGCACCCCTCACCTGCACCCCTCACCTGCACCCCTCACCTGCGCCCCTCACCTGCGCCCCTCACCTGCACCCCTCACCTGCACCCCTCACCTGCACCCCTCAGCTGCACCCCTCACCTGCACCCCTCACCTGCACCCCTCACCTGCACCCCTCACCTGCACCCCTCACCTGCACCCCTCACCTGCGCCCCTCACCTGCGCCCCTCACCTGCACCCCTCACCTGCACCCCTCACCTGCACCCCTCACCTGCACCCCTCACCTGCACCCCTCACCTGCACCCCTCACCTGCACCCCTCACCTGCACCCCTCACCTGCGCCCCTCACCTGCACCCCTCACCTGCACCCCTCACCTGCACCCCTCACCTGCACCCCTCACCTGCGCCCCTCACCTGCGCCCCTCACCTGCACCCCTCACCTGCACCCCTCACCTGCACCCCTCAGCTGCACCCCTCACCTGCACCCCTCACCTGCACCCCTCACCTGCACCCCTCACCTGCACCCCTCACCTGCACCCCTCACCTGCGCCCCTCACCTGCGCCCCTCACCTGCACCCCTCACCTGCACCCCTCACCTGCACCCCTCACCTGCACCCCTCACCTGCACCCCTCACCTGCACCCCTCACCTGCACCCCTCACCTGCACCCCTCACCTGCGCCCCTCACCTGCACCCCTCACCTGCACCCCTCACCTGCACCCCTCACCTGCACCCCTCACCTGCGCCCCTCACCTGCGCCCCTCACCTGCACCCCTCACCTGCACCCCTCACCTGCACCCCTCACCTGCACCCCTCACCTGCACCCGTCACCTGCACCCCTCACCTGCACCCCTCACCTGCACCCCTCACCTGCACCCCTCACCTGCGCCCCTCACCTGCACCCCTCACCTGCACCCCTCACCTGCACCCCTCACCTGCACCCCTCACCTGCACCCCTCACCTGCACGAGTGAGATGACGTAGAAGACGGTGGAGGGCTGCAGGTGGCCTTTTGAGTCGACTCAAATGTCACCTCCCTCCCTGCCTGCACCTCACCTGCACCTCAACTCCCTGCCTGCACCTCACCTGCACCTGATCGCACCTGCACGAGTGAGATGACGTAGAAGACGGTGGAGGGCTGCAGGTGGCCTTTTGAGTCGACTCAAATGTCACCTCCCTCCCTGCCTGCACCTCACCTGCACCTCAACTCCCTGCCTGCACCTCACCTGCACCTGATCGCACCTGCACGAGTGAGATGACGTAGAAGACGGTGGAGGGCTGCAGGTGGCCTTTTGAGTCGACTCAAATGTCACCTCCCTCCCTGCCTGCACCTCACCTGCACCTCAACTCCCTGCCTGCACCTCACCTGCACCTGATCGCACCTGCACGAGTGAGATGACGTAGAAGACGGTGGAGGGCTGCAGGTGGCCTTTTGAGTCGACTCAAATGTCACCTCCCTCCCTGCCTGCACCTCACCTGCACCTCAACTCCCTGCCTGCACCTCACCTGCACCTGATCGCACCTGCACGAGTGAGATGACGTAGAAGACGGTGGAGGGCTGCAGGTGGCCTTTTGAGTCGACTCAAATGTCACCTCCCTCCCTGCCTGCACCTCACCTGCACCTCAACTCCCTGCCTGCACCTCACCTGCACCTGATCGCACCTGCACGAGTGAGATGACGTAGAAGACGGTGGAGGGCTGCAGGTGGCCTTTTGAGTCGACTCAAATGTCACCTCCCTCCCTGCCTGCACCTCACCTGCACCTCAACTCCCTGCCTGCACCTCACCTGCACCTGATCGCACCTGCACGAGTGAGATGACGTAGAAGACGGTGGAGGGCTGCAGGTGGCCTTTTGAGTCGACTCAAATGTCACCTCCCTCCCTGCCTGCACCTCACCTGCACCTCAACTCCCTGCCTGCACCTCACCTGCACCTGATCGCACCTGCACGAGTGAGATGACGTAGAAGACGGTGGAGGGCTGCAGGTGGCCGCCCTGCAGCGTGTAGGTGGCGAAGATGACGAGAGACACCATGGACGCCGAGGCAAAGTAAGACGCCTCGTTGAACGCCTTTATGTACGACGCTAGCTCGATGCTGGGAGGGGTGGGGAAGAGAGGAGGTGGGACGGATACACGTTGAGCACACATGATAAGGGTTGAGGCGAAGTAAGAGGCCTCGTTGAACGCCTTTATGTACGACGCTAGCTCGATGCTGGCATGGGTGGAGGGGGAGGGTGGGGAAGAGAGGAGGTGGGACGGGCACATGTTGAATTCACATGATAAGGGTTGAGGCGAAGTAGGACGCCTTGTTGAAAGCGTAGATGTATGATGTGATGACAGCTCGATGCTGGGTTGGGTGGAAAGGGGAGCGGAGGGGTGGGGTGGGGGGCAGTAGGGCGAGGGGGGTTTTTGGTAGGACGCCTCGATGTATGATGAAAGCTCGATGCTGGGGTGAGTAGGAGGTGGGAAGGGGTGGGATGAGGGGGCGTTTGGGTGAGCCTGAAGGGGGCTGAAGCGAAGTTTGAGTCATCTCAAAAGCCGAAGCGAAGTAGGACGCCTCATTGAATGCATGGATGAATGATGGCAGCTGGAGGCTGGGATTTTGACAAGGGGTGGGGTGTGAGGAGGGTGGGAGGAGAAGAAGGGGGATACGTGGATGTTTGGGTTGAATCAGTTGGTTAGGGTGCGAAATAGGGTGGGGAGGAGAAAGGGGTGAGGAGGGAGGGAGGGGGGAGAGAGGGTGGGAGTCGGGACGATGCAAGCTTGATATTGGCGACCAGGAGTGATCAGTGGTAAAAGAGTTGGCTCTTGAGTCGACTCAAAAGTGCAAGCTTGGTATTGGTGACTAGGAGTTATCGGTGGTAAAAGGGTGCGAGGGACGAGGAAGGGAAGGGTGGGGGAGGGGAAGGGTGAGCACGACAGGAGGGGGATGAAATGAGGAGAGGATGTGTAGGGGACGGATGAGGAGAAGGGGAAGGGTGGGGTGAGGGGGAAGTGAGGAGGGGAAAAGAGGGGGGGTCAAGAGAAGGAGGACGGGGATAATAGGAGGATGAGGACAACTGTTTCTGTTGTCGCCATGAATTATTGTAAACAAAAATGCAGCACAGCAATAAAACCGGCTACTTAACTGCCTCTCCCTGCCTGCACTCTCTTACTTTCTGCGCTCTTTGTTGCGGATCCTCTGAATGAAGCTCGTGAAGGGCGCCTCCCATGCGAACATCTTCACTGCCAGAATGCCTGACAGCACCTGCAGGGAGGAGCAGCAGAAACAAGCGTGGGTGCGGGTGTGGGCGCGGCAGGGGCAAGATAGGAGACGAATGGGGGAAAAGGGCGGGTCTTGAGGTTGTGCTCGTGAAGGGCGCCTCCCATGCGAACATCTTCACTGCCAGAATGCCTGACAGCACCTGCAGGGAGGGTGAGCAGAGACGGGTGTAGGAGCAGGCATGCAGAAGCAAGAAGGGAGGAGGATGGGAGAGAGAGGGGAGCTTTTGAATTTCTGCTTATGAGAGACTTGGCTCCTGACAACTCCAATAGAAGGCAACACAACACGTGACCATGTGAGTGAAGATGTGGAGTGGTTGATTGGCTGCGACCACCTCTGCTCTCATCAACTCCGCTCCTCCCCACCCCCTGCCCTTTTCGCCTACAAGGGACATGCATAGCAGTTTCCGTGTCTCATCTCCCCTCCCCTCCAGTACAAAAGACACAGCAGCACGCACCTCGCCTGTCATCTTGACCCGCGCATCTGTGAACGCAACTGTCTCACTCCCCAGTCGTCCCCACTCACTCAACCCCAACATCCCCAGCACATCACAGCACGCACCTCGCATGTCATCTTGACCCGCGCATCTGTGAATTCCACTGTCCTGCGCCGTTGCTTCTCTGGCAACACCTGTCCCATATCTCCCATTTTTCCATCCCCCCTCCCCCAACACAGCGCTCACCTCGCCTGTCATCTTGACTCGCGCATCTGTAAACTCCACTGTCCTGCGCCGTTGCTTGGCAAAAAAGTGCCCGAACAAGGCCTGGGCGGAGGGAGCAAGGGGCGTGATGGGTGTGAGGAGAGGGATGAAAGAAAAACAGGTGAATTGGAACCAAACCCAACCGAACTTGTGCCGCTGCTTGGCAAAGAAAGGACCGAACACAGCCAGGGGGAAAGGGGCAAGGGGGGAGAGGGGTGAGGGAGGGAGAGGGGAGAAGGAAGAGGGGTGAGGGGAGAGGGGAGAGGGGTGAGGGGAGAGGGTTGAGAGAAGAAGCGTGAGGGAGAAGGGTGAGGCGAGAAAGGGTGATGGGAACCCAACCCAACCCAACCCAATCCAACCCAACCCAACCCAACCCAACCCAACCCAACCCAACCCAACCTGGAAGTTGGAACCCAACCAACAACGGCAAATCACAGGCCTCAAGGAGCATCAAGCATGCCCACTCCCCCATACCTACCCCGACAATCCAACTCCCCAGTCCCAACCCCTAGCCCCACAACCCTGAACCCTCATCATCCCCCAACCCCCTGACCTCTGCCCCCACCCATCATCGTCCCACCTGCAGGGGAATGAGGGCGAGGAGGGCAGCAATGCCAGCAAACGCAGGCTGTGCCCCCACTTCGAGAACTATGAGCGTCGTCACCACCACCAGCTCCAGAGGGGCCTGGGGGGATAGGATGGGATGGGGGAAGGGGAGGGGAGCATGGGAGATGAGGTATGGATGGGATGGGCTGCAATGCAGGCTGGGGGCCCACTTCGAGAACTATGAGCGTCGTCACCACCACCAGCTCCAGAGGGGCCTGGGGGGATGGTAACAATAATAATAATAAAAAAAAAAGTGAAAAGTGGTGTGAATGTGGCAGAAGCAGCAGCAGCGGTAGGATAGGATGGGAGGGGGCAGCAGAGGAACACTCACCGCCCATAGGAACTGCGCGAACATGGGGAGCTCATGGAAGAAAATCAAGAAAAAAGAGCAAGAGCACAGCAGGAGGGAAGGGGGCAGCACTCACTGCCCATAGGAACTGCGCGAACATGGGGAGCTCGTCGAAGCGGCGCACATCATTAGACATGAGAGTGATGCAGTGGCCTGTGGTGATGCGCGTCAGTGCGCCTCCATTTAAAGACAGCAGCTTGCTGTTGACTGGGGTGAAGGGGGAAAGTGGAAGAAGAGGTAGAGGCGAGTCTTGTTAGACATGAGCGTGATGCAGTGGCCCGTGGTGATGCGCGTGAGTGCACTCCCGTTGAGTGATAGCAGGTTGCTGTTGACTGGCGAGGAGGGAGGAAGGGGAGGGGCGAAGAAGAGTGTTTGAGGCGCCCTGACTTGAAGCACGTCGTTAGACATGGGCTTGATGCAGTGGCCCGTGGTGATGCACGTGAGTGCACCCCCGTTGAGTGATAACAGCTTGCTGTTGACTGGTGGCGAGAGGAACATGCGGAACAGGAAAGAGGAGAGTGGGGTATGGGGGCGTGGTGAGCGAAGTGCGGGGAGAGGAGCGTGGGAAACGGGGGTTGAGGAGGTTTGGAAGGGGGAAAGAGCGGAAAGAAACAGGGACTCGGAGCAGTGGAGGGGGTTTTGACGAGGCGCGGGTGAGGTGAAGGAACGAAGGGGAAAGGATTGGGAAAGTAGAGAAGGGGGAGGGTGAGGGGGAGAAGGAGGTAGAGGAGGCGATTCAAGTGTTCAAGTCAGCGTGGGTGGTCAGTTGGTCAGGTACAAGCAAGCGAGCGCACTCACTGAGCGTCATAGAGGCCACTCGCAGGTTCCAGCCCACGATCTGCGAGAGGTTCCAGATCTGATGGTGCAGCAGAGCGAAGCCCAGCGCCAGCAGCCCCATCAGCAGTGCCAGCACGTACCCCCTCCACGCCTGGTCGCTTGTATCTGGGTCCTGCGCATCTTGTAAGAATCGAACCTGGGGAGTCGGACATGAAGGGAGCAGGCGGAAGGGGAGGGGGGAGAGGGGAAAGGCAGCAGCCCCATCAGCAGTGCCAGCACGTACCCCCTCCACGCCTGGTCACTTGTTTCCAGGTCCTGTGTATCTTGCAAGAATCGAACCTGCAGAGGCGAGGGGAGCGAGGCAGAGAGGGCAGAGAGGGCGAAGGAAGCACGTTAAAAGTACTCAAACACCACCATCCAGGCCAGGCTACCCAATCTGTTTCAATTTTACTTTTGAGAATTCTCAAAAGAGGGCGAAGCAAGCATGTTCAAAGTACTCAAGCTACCACCGACCAGGCTACCCAGTCCCTTTCTTGCTACACTACACAGCCTACTAACTTCCTGCCCGCATCCCTCACTCTCGCCAAAGCTCTTCCTCCAAGCACCGTCATCAGCACCCCCTCACTCACCCTCACCCCACCTCGTCTACCCTCGTCCTCTCACCGTCCTTCCAAACAGCTATCGGCTACCACAACGGCACACCCAATTCCCATTCTCTCGGCACCCTCATCTATCCTCATCCCCAATCCCCTTCCTTCCCACCTCCCCTCCGCCCCCCTCCGCCTGCTCCTTCCCAGCTCCTCCTCCCCCCACCCTTCTCCCTTTCCCCCACTGCCCCCAGCCCAGGCGCCCCTCTCACCAGTTGGCGCAGCAGGAAGGCGGAGAGGATGCGCTGGGCGGACTCCGCCACAATCAGCACCGCCACCAGCGTCAGCCGCCACCTGAACGGCCACATAATCACCGCCCAGTACCGCCCCGCCCATCCCCCTCCCCCTCCCCCGCCCCTGCCTTTCCCCGCGCCCGTTTCCCCCCTCTGCTGCTGCCCGGGGGGCGGATTGCGCTTGGCCCAGAGCGCGCTGAGCTTCGCCCCCAGGTGCTGCGCGGAGAAGGCGGACGGCAGGGGGTAGAGGTCGCTGGGGCCCAGCACCTGGCGCACGCCTTGCGCCATGAGGGGGGAGAGCTGGGGGCGGGGAGGAGGGAAGGAGGGGGAAGGCGCGGGGGAGGAGGGGAGTGGGTAGAAGCGGAGGGAAAGAAGGAAAAACGGATGTACAGGGATGGGGAAAGGTAGAAAAAATATAATAAAAATAACATAATGGACAAATTTAGAGGAGGACGAGGAGGAGGAGGAGGAGGAGGAGGAGGAGGAGGAGGAGGAGGAGGAGGAGGAGGAGGAGGAGGAGGAGGAGAGGGAGGGAGGAAGGGGGTGGGAGGGAGGAGAGGGAGGAGGGGAGGAGGGAGGAGGGGGAGGGGGGAGGGGAGGGAGGGAGTAGGGGGAGGAGGGGAGGGAGGGAGTAGGGGCAGGAGGGGAGGTAGGGAGGAGGGAAGGACCTAGGAGGGCATGCGGAACGGGGTGAGAAAGCCGCTGGGACGATCGACCGAGAAGATAACCAGGGGGAAAGTGTGAGCGGTCGTGGCTCAGAGGGGAGTGCGAGGGGAAGAGGATCGGAGGAAACGCTCAAGGCATCAAAGAATTCAGCGTGAGGGGGCAAGCGGTATGTGTGTGGGGGGGGGGGGGGGGGGGGGGGGGGGGGGGGGGGGGGTTGGGGAAGCGGGGGAGGGCGAGGGGTGGGGGGGGTGGTCGGGGGGGGGGGACGGAACTGCCGAGCGGAGCGGGGAAAGGTTACCCATGAGAAGGTGAGTATGGAGTAGATGCTCAGCGGAGGATCCGCTATCCCCTCTTCCTCCTCGAGCAAATCCGGCGGCGCCATGTCTCCCCCCATGTTAGTAGTACCGCCCGTCGGGCCGCGCATACTATCGCCACACTTATTATCGCCACTTTTGTTACCGCCACTCATGCTATCACCATTGGTAATCCCTGCGTCCGTTCCGTTCGCCAACATCGGTTCCCGCGCCTCGATCTCCTCCGCACCCTCTCCGCCACCCGCCTCCGCCACGCGGGGGGAAGTGGGGGAGCGGACAGGCTCTACATGGGGATGCTCCGCCAACACTTGCTCGGATAAACCTCTCTCGGGTAAATTCGTCTCGGATAGATTCATCGCCGGCGGGTTCGCCGTCGCTGGTGGATTCGACTCCAATGGATTAGGGTGAAAAGAGCTTCCCTCGAATTGATTCGATTCGGCTTCACCTGACGACGGCCTTGCATCGCGTAGAATTTCGTCCGCGATGGGATTCATCGCAGGCGACGCGCACACGCATCGCCCAGGCCAGGCGAACGGTTGCGGGATGGAGATCTGTAAAGATTACGCAACGGTTTGCCGCAACGGGTCACCGCCACGGGTCACCGCAACGGGGATGAGAAGGTTTTAAAGGAGGCCACAGAACGAACCGGATCAAACAATACGAGCACGAATCACGAAGTCAGGCGCTGGTAACTGCGCGAGCTACACGCATAAACCACGAGAGATTATCTGCCAGCCAGCTCGCACTGAGACGCTCACAAAAGAGAGTGGATTACCCATGTCATGAGGGCGTGTAACATTGTATCGACCAAGGCAAAAATCCGACCAAATGGTCGGGTCATGCGAATGCGAATTGTGTAACGCTTGAACGAGCCCCGCCAAACATTTCGAACAGAACGACCATTCTGTTCGCGATGCTGTGGGGCACCCACCCTGAACTACCCTCGTAATTATATCTAGATGTTTAATCCAAGGTTCAGCATTCGAACGGGGTGTGAAAAAAATTGGGGCACGGAAAGACAGTAGTGTTTAGCAAGTTCATAGTCCTTCCCGAAACAACTTCGGGGGAAATAACTGAATGTCAAACACTAATCCCTAACCCTGGTACAAGTCGCGTACGTCCGTGATCCAGAATTTAATATAAATCAATCCGAAGAATTTTCTGCTGTCAGAGTGACTACCACGTAATGCTAATCAGTGGGTGTAACCCCAAACAGTTCGCAATCGTCAGAACCGCCCAATGGTCGTTTTTTCCGGTTGGTTGGTACAGTGTACACGCCCACGAGAGCGTTGCCGTTGTTCCAACTTAGGGAAGCAGAAGAAAAATGATGATCGCTTAGTACGCTGAGGCAGAGGGGTCACAGAACAATATGGATGCCCATGTACAGAACAGATGATTGGCTTGCAACAGATACACACCTCGCTGAAACTCGCTGAACCTTGCTGAACCGCAATGCAGCAACAATAAACTGCAGTAGGGTAAATGTAGATCGCCTTTCGCCTTCCAGACCTTTCAGGGGCAGACATGATGACCCTGGGAAACACCGACTAGAATCGAGTGGTTGGGGTCAGGGCCTATTTTTGCAGAGTGATTTATCCGGCCTACTATTCAAATCCGGGTGGATTTTACGGCCGACCCGGCAAATGACGAGGTGCCACGATTGTGACTCGGCCCACTGCAGAGTTCGATTATTTTAAGGCTGCTGTGGCCGCATGCCTGAATTCTCCACTCGGCCACTCTGTGCAAGTACGGATTTGCCCCTACTGTGTCACTTATGTACTTCGCCAAAACTGCTAACGTTTTTACTAAACATGCCTAGTCTTTGTCTGCGAGTCGAAGAATGAATGGGTTGCGCATGGAATTTGTCCTTGACTGATACTATGGAGATGCGATCAGCATGAAGTCTTGGCTAAGTCCTCGAAATGTGAATGCGCATTCAGTGTCTTCAAGAAAGAGTGATCAAACTTTCTACCCGGCCTGTACCCGGATTTTGCAGCGAGCCACTCGGCCCAGTCGAGGGGCGCGCGGATTTCACTCTTTTCTGGAAGAGTGGCTTGAAACGAAAAATGAGCCCTGGTTGGGGTGACTAGCAGCACCCAACAAAGCGGAGCGCACAACACAACCAATCAGGTGCGAGAAAAATTTGTGGGTGGTGGAGGTGATGGCTTCCGCCTTCGCCGAGTTTCTCCCCCGAATTCGTCTCCGCGCGCCTGTTCTCGCGCGCGCTGCTGGTGGAGGAGGTGGCCCCCTGAAGCCAACCTCTCATGCCGGGAGGGTAAAGGGGGAGACTCCCCCCTGCACCAGCCCTTCTCGCGGCTGTTGCAGCGTTGAGGGGCTATATGCTAAGGAGTCGTGGACAAAGAAAACGATCGACACGTGGCTTGTGTTGAACGAAAGCTGAGGTTGACGTCACCCAAACAGTTTCTTCGCACAAAACGGAGGAACCTTCCCCAGCAGATCAGCCAGACACACGCCACCACGCCACGCCCTGGGGTCGTTCGCGCTACAGGCCGCAGAAAGAAGCGTAAGAACCTCGACCCTTGTGCAAAGATACAGAAGAAATGCGTACTAAAAAAACTGCAACAAACAACAAACAAAGTCTTACACATGCACAAACCAAATTTAAGCACGAACAAACTCAATCAACAAGCAATATTCTAACGTCATGCCATCTTTCCCACCATGCTTGCACATACGTATTCATCCTGACAGGTAGATAATCTAAATCCTGTCCTTAGCCTCTGAATATCAACCGAAAACGAGGACTTAACTGTTCCCAAAAAAACATCGGCCAACGCACAGACAGCCTTGTCAAGGAAGACCTTGAGCAGCGCTTGGTTCCGAAACCGAAACGGTTCAAGCACCTTTGCCCAAGGCTGCCCTGCCAGAACCTCCGGCAGTTGCACAATCTCCACCCCGGGTAGATAGCCCCAAATCGCTCGTTTCAGCTGCCCCACCTCCTGCTTGTCAGCATTCGACGCAAGGAACACCACGGAAATATTTCCCGACTTTTCCATCCTCTCCGCAATGCATTTCCCAGAGTTCTCCACTGTGAGAAACTCCAGGAGCTGTGGATACATAACCAGCAGATCCCCCCGCCTCCAATGCACAGCTAGGTACCGCTGCGGCTGCCTCTGCTCCCTCCCATTGGCGCTCTCGCTGATCTTCCTGCTATTTGCAGTACCCTGCTGCTGGTTTACGCCGGCCTCTGCTACACTTTGCTTCATGGGCCCTGCCGCAGCGACAGCAGCAGTGAAAGGCATTGAGGTGGCATCGGCTAATGGTGTGATACCCTCTGGCATTGGGGCATTAGGCGAAAGGTTCGCGGAAGAATAAAAGGAAGAAGTGAGAGGGGAAAAAGAGGAGGAGGCGGAGGAGGAAGAGAAGGTACTTGGAGGTTTCCAGATGGCCTGCTGCACGAATCCCAAGGCTGCTTCCAGCACTGCCGGGTGTGGCTGCACCCCAAGGCGATTTGCACACTCAAGACTCTTCAATCCTCCACTATTAACACTACCCTCAAATGGCAGCCCCACGCCCTTGCCAAGGTTTCCATCAAGCCTCCACGCGTGGAAGTCTCCAAACAGCACGACGTCAGCAGTAGGCAGGAGGATTCTTCCCAAAGAACGGAGATCCGAGAGGGTGAATTGGTGCAAGAGAGGCATGTTGAGAGAAGTCCATGTCGCGTTATGATATACCACACCCTCTAGTTCCGGAAGCGAATAAAAATTGTTTCCCCATGGCCGCGTGTTACAAGCCTTGAATGGACACACTACCTGTTGCACCATCACAACACCTTCCACCTCACTCCCCTCCTCTCCTTTCCCTTGTTCCCCTTCAGCGCTTCGACTTCCCTGTTCGCCCTTCCCTGAACCTCCTCCCGAAGTTGCTGGAGCGGGATGGCGGAGCGCGGTCCGTAGCAGCGGTGCAGGTGCGGCAGGTGCAGGAAGGTACGGCGGTCGTAGGAGCGAGCGACTTCGTCGGGCTTTAAGGGCACCACGAGCGTGCGGTTCAAGGCACCTGCCAGGAGCAGATGCCGTCGGATACACGCTATGCGGTTGCTCACCTGGGAAAAGTCAGAAAATGGGGGACATGGGCATTGGAGTAAGTGTGTGTGTGTGGCTTTTGGGTATGGGCGTGTGTGCGGGTGTTAGATTACAGGGAGTTAGGGACCCAAATAACGAGGATAGCAGGGGCCAATGGGAGCAGGTGGGGGCAGGTTGGATCAGGTGGCACTAAATGCAGCCCCTACACTGGTAGAGACAGTCCCATCCTCACCCAGCCCAGCTCAACCCCACCCAATCCAATCCCACTCAACCACATCCAGGCCCACCTGATTCTCCTGGCAATCCATGAGAATGTACTTCCCAGGCTGTGGCACCCACGCAAGGGCGCCTTCCTGGAAGGCGCTCTCCCAGAGCCACCTGCGGAAGAGCCACTTGGGGAGGGCGCTGCAGCGGCCTTGCGCGTTGAGAGCCTTGAGCTGCTGCTGCTTGTGCTCGTAGGATATAGGATAGCCCCTGGATGATGGAGAGGAGATTAGGGAGTGGGATTGGGTGTGGGTGTGGGTGTGGGTGTGGGTGTGGGTGTAGGTGTGAGTGGGCAAGAAAGTAGTATTTTGAATCGTCGACTTAGAGTGCGCCCTGAGCGCCCTGAGCTGCTGCTGCTTGTTCCTGGGGTGATCAGCACGGTGGGATTCAGGAGGGGACCGTGCTGAGGGAGTGAAGATGGAGAAGGGTGAGGATGTCAACATGGCACCACAGAAGGCTAGCTCATTACAAATCCTTCAATAGCAGGCCAGTAAGAAAACTAAATTTTGTTACAGGGCGGAAGGATGAGTGTGCCACGTCGGCACAGAAGGCTACTAGCCATCCAAACGGCGAAGTTTTACTACCAAACCTGACGTAGCATTCACTTAGCACAGAGTTTTCCGCCATCCCTCTCCATTGCTCACACTTTTTCTGGGTGAGTCACCATTCCTTACCATTCCTGCCGGATCTCGGTTTTATCAACTTCTCCCTCTCCATCCCCTCCTCCCACGCCAGCTTTTGTTGCCATTTCCTCGCGAACTCTCTCCCCCCCAACTGCTCGCCCCGCTCCCCCCACTCCAGAAATTCCCCCCTCGAGTTCCGTTTCCATCTCCCCTACTCGCCCGACCGTCTCCCCTTCGCGTTCCGCCCATCGCTGCGGATTGCTGCCGCCTCCTCCGCCACTACTATCCGCCCTTGGATCGCCGAGCAGAAGATCATGCGTCGCTGAGCTTTCCGCGTGGTGCACCAAGAGAAGAAAGAGCCCGCTTTCCGCCAGGAGCCAGAGCGCCCATGCTACTCCGCGGGTTCCGCTGCAGCTTCTCCGCATTGAGGGCAGCAATCCGCGCATTCCTCCGCCGTTCACCAGCCGCGCGGCTGCAGTAGTAGTAGTAAAATATGAGTCACCAGTCGTTGCTACGACCTTGTCTCAACGAGAGGAGAAAGTTATATTGTTGAATGAGGCAAATTTCCACAGAAGCTTGCAGAAATTGTGTCAGAAGTTGTGGGCTCGGTTGTTGAGAATATCCGAAGCGGATCAGCCAAGTCAGCTTGGGCCAATTTAAAAACAACCTCTTTGCTGAGCAGACAGCGTCACTGACTTCATCGGTGCTGAGAAAGCTCAGCTCAGCATTAATCTGTATTCAATGCTCGGTGCCCGAGTCGGGCCTGGTCCTCTAGAGATATCAACCCCCAAAAGGTCACCACAAAGACACCCACAGTGTGTCGCGCCATCCCAAATTGGCATTCTGACAGAACAACCATTGGGTCATTTCAACAAGCGGGACTGCCTAGTAGAAGTGGCACACTACAGTATGTGTTCTGCTCACGATCCGTTTCTTTTCGGGTACAGTTGCTATGGTTCAGGATTTGGGTGCATTGCATTTGATTTTCAACAATTCCTCCCAAACGGAGCTGCCAGTAGGTGGGTTTAGCTTGCTCAGCAAAAATCAGGCCAGCCTACTCGTCTGCTTCACTCCCAGCAAAAACTGCCACATTCCCGAATCGGATGTTGTTCGCGGCTCCAGCCCCGAATTTCACGTCAGCAGCGTACACCTGATGCCTGTTTGAGCCCCTCCCGGTTGCCTTACGAAGGGGGCGTATAAGCTGTCACGAGCATTTCGCATAAGTTTCGGCAATTCGCAGCTAGCTAAAAATGATTCGCATGTGCTTATAAACAAGATCTGTAACCTAGTTTGACTTCAGTCTCCTCTGCTTGACTTCGGTCTGTACCTAGTTTGACGTCGGTCTGTTCGTTACTACTGGTTGATAACCACGCGACGCGCTTGTAATGTAGGTGCATGAAGCTGGGGAAACAACCTCGGGTGCAGCGTATCCATCTGGCGCAAGGCAAAATCGCGTGCATGGGGTGAGCATCAGCTGTACTACTCAACGTTGACTTGCAACGACCGGCAAGTCGAGACGCCCTCGCATATAAGTCCAAGCGATTTTGATTCGAGGGATTCTTTCCCATAAAGTGCGTCAAAGTACAGCACAAAATCTACAACTGCCCGCGCAAGAAGTTTGTCACATCCCACTTGCTGTTTTGACGGATCCTGTACAATACTCCCACTCATCACGCCCCAATGGAAACGCAGCACTCTTTACAGAATAGAGTAGGATTATATCATGATCACATCTACAATTAGATTTTATGTTACGGGTGCATTTGAGAGCTAGTGAGGATTGCACTGAAGAGCCAAACGAGTACGACGTATGAGAGAATGCATGAGCAAATACTTAAGCGAAACGGTAATAAGGTGCGTGCAGGCGAGCTAGTGCGATGCTGGCAGCGAGGTTCAGGCTAGTCCAAAAGTGTAGGCCGACACGGCCAAGTCCAGCAGCAGTCTCCTCCAAGTGTACCTGCGAAGCGATATACACGCACTCACGTAGCGGAGGGGCTCTTTGGGGAAAGGGGTCGTGTAGGGATTGCATGTTGGAACAATACAAATGTACACGTTGAAAGGCAGACGGTACCGTACTATCCTAGCATGCTTTCACATATGTACTCATCTTCGCAGGTGGATATTCTAAATCCTGTTCTCAGCCGCTCGATATCAGTCGAGAACGAAGACCTCGGGGTCCCCATGAAAACATCAGCCAACGCACAGACAGCCTTGTCAAGCATCGCCCGGAGCAACGCCTGGTTCTGAAACCGAACCGGTTCAAGCACCTTCGCCCAAGCCTGCCCTGTCAGCTCCTCGGGCAGTTGCACAATTTCCACCCCAGGCAGAAGACCCCGAATAACTCGTTCCAGCTGCCTTACTTCTTGCTCATCAGCATCCGTTGCAAGAAACACTGTGGAAATATTCCCCGATCTCACCATCCTCTCCGCAATGCATCTCCCAGCGTTCTCCGCAGTGAGAAACGCCAGAACCTTCTGATACAGCAGCAGGAGATCCCCCCGCCGCCAGTGCACAGCCAGGTACCGCTGCGGCTGCCTCTGCTCCCCCCCACTGCCCATCATCTCATCGCTCACACTGCCTTGCTGCTGGGTTGCGCCGGCCTCTGCCGCACTGCTCTTGCTAGGCCCTGCTGCAGCGACAGCAGCAGTAAAAGGCATTGCAGAGGCATCGGCTGCTGCTGTAATGCCCTCTGGCAATGCAACGTCAGGTGATTTCCATATGACCTGCTGCACGAATCCCAAGGCTGCTTCTAGCACTGCCGGGTGCGGCTGCACTGCAAGCCGATTCGCACACTCACCACCCTTTGATTCACCACCACCACCACCACCACTACTCCCAAACGGCAACCCCACGCTCTTCGAGATGTTTCCCTGAAGGTTCCACTGGTAGGAGTCTCCAAACAGCACGACATCAGCGGATGGCAGGAGCGAGCTTCCCAGTGAGCGAAGATCGGGAAGAGAGAATATCTGAGAGAGCGGCATGTTGAGAGCAGTCCAGGTCATGTTGTGGTATACCACGCCCTCTAGCTCCGGAAGTACAGAAGGCTTGTTCGTCCATGGCTGCATGTAGCATGCCTCGTATGGACACAGCACCTGTTGCACCATCAATGCACCTTCCTCCTCCTCACTCCCTGCCTCTTCTATTTCCTGTGGCGCCTCAGAAACAGACTTTCCAGCAGATGACTCCACCTCCTCGCTCCCGCTGCCTCCTGCCTCTCCCTTCCCTCGTCCCGGTGCTGCTGCGCTCCTACTGCCCCCGTTCACCGCTGCCCCCCGAACCTCCTCCCGAAGCTGCTGGAGCGGGATGGCGGAGCGGTGTCCGTAGCAGCGGTGCAGGTGCGGGAGGTGCAGGAAGGTGCGGCGGTCGTAGAAGCGTTCGACCTCGTGGGGCTTTAAGGGAACCACGAGGGTGCGGTTGAGCATGCCTGCTAGGAGCAGATGCCGTCGGATGCACCCTATGCGGTTGCTCACCTGGAGGGAGGTGGGAAGAAGAACGGGCATGGTGTGGGCTTAGGTGCGGGTATGGGTGTGGAGGCGTGGGCGTTGGTGTGGGTGTGGGTGGAGAATAAATGTGGGCAAACGGAACAAGAATTATGGTAAGGACAGGTGGGGACAGGTGGGGTGAGGTGGGGACAGGTGACTCTTGATGATAGGGGCCACAGCGACAGGTGGGGACAGACCAGATCAGGTGGCATCAAATGCATCTCATGCCGATGGTCAAAACTCAAAAGAAGGGATAGGGTGTGGGAAGAAGCGGGGGGAGAAGAGGGAAATGGGAGGGTTGAAACTTGGACGCAAGAGCCTTGCAAATCAAAGCAACACCACTCTGACTGCGTGTAACTCCAACAGCCCCATCCAACCCCACCCAGCCCCACTCAATTCCACCCACACCCAGTCCAACCCCACTCAACCGCATCCAGCCCCACCTGGCTCCTCTGGCAATCCATGAGAATGTACTTCCCAGGCTGTGGCACCCACGCAAGGGAACCTTCCTGGAAGGCGCTCTCCCACAGCCACGTGCGGAAGAGCTTGGGGTGGGCACTGCAGCGTCCCTGCGCCTTGAGGGTCTTGAGCTGCTGCTGCTTCTCCTTGAAGGATATGGCATAGCCCCTGGGATGAGATGATCATGGTGGGGAGAGTGGCAGCATGGTGGGAGTCAGGAGGACCGGGCTGAGGGAGAGAGCGTTGCAGCGGCCCTGTGCCTTGAGCGTCTTGAGCGTCTTGAGCTGCTGCTGCTTCTCCTGGAAGGATATGGGATAGCCCCTGGAGGGATGGTGTGGTGGGGAGAGTAGGAGTGGGAGTGGGCAAGAGAGTGGTGTTTGAGTCGACTCAGTGCGCCTTGAGCGTCTTGAGCTGCTGCTGCTTCTCCTTGAAGGAAATGGATAGCCCCTGGAGGGATGGGGGGCAGATATGGAGTGGGTGTGGGAGTGAAAGTGGTGTTTGAGTCGACGCAGAGTGCACCTTGAGCGTCTTGAGCTGCTGCTGCTTTTCTTTGAAGGATATGGCATAGCCCCAGGGGGGATGGTGGAAGGGTAGTGGGTGTGGGTGTGGTGTTTGACTCGACTTAGAGTGCGCCTCGAGCGTCTTGAGTTGCTGCTGCTGCTTGAGCTCGAACGATATAGCATGGCCGCTGGAATGATGGTGGAGTGCGTAGGGGTCGGAATGGGAGTGGGTGCGGATAGGGGAACGGGGGTCAGTGTGGGAGTGGAAAGAGAGTGGTATTTGAGTTGACTCAGAGTGTGCCTTGAGCAACCTGCGCTGCTGCTGTCAACGCTCGAAGGATATGGCCTCGCCCCTGGAGAGATGGTGGGAAGCGTGGGATGGGAGCAGGAGTGGGCGTGGCTTGGGCATGTGCATGGGCGTGGGAGTGCCAGCCACCACTCTACAGTTGGTCACATCGTTAAAACACCACTTATCATTGCACTGGCAGTAGGTCACCTCACCTGTGGCGGATACCCTTACCATTCTCGTCGAATCTCGGTTCTATCCGTTCCTTCCCCTCCCCCTCCTCTCACTCCGCCCCTCGACATTCCGCCACCTATCTCCCCCCCAACTGCTCCCCCTGGCCCCCCTGGCCCCGCCACTCCAGATATCCCCCCTTCAAGTTCCGCTTCCATCTCCCCCACTCGCCCAACCGTCTCCCCCTCCCCTTCCGCCCATGTGCGCGGATTCCTCCCGCCTACCCCGCCCTTCCCCGCCCTTGGAGCGCTGAGCGCAAGATGCGCCGCTGCGCTTTCCGCGTTTTGCGCCAAGAGGAGAAAGAGCCCGCTTTCCGCCAGCAGCCAGAGCGCCCATGCTCCTCCGCGGTTTCCGCGTCTACGCATGGAGCGCATCGCTTCTCTTCCGCGCATTCCGCGCCGCCGTGCGCTGGCCATCCGCTCGCACACCGGCCGCGTCCGCAGTTTGTGTCTCTCCTGAGTGGCGCGTGCAATATGTTATGTTGCGAGACTGCGTGTAACACGACGCGGCTTCTACAAACTTCCTGGTTTCATCATGTATTCATCGACGGCCAAATCAAATATAGTTCGCATATTTGCTTGCTTGGCCTTGCTGGAAGTCCCGCAAAGGCGCAGGTTGGCGAACCTCCATTTCAGACCTCGAGGCGCGTGACAAGTTCAAAAAAAGGCACGCGCCCTCAGGTTCGCAAGTTGTTCCCTCAAGGCGCAAACGATCTTCAACTGCAACCGCGTTAGACCATCACGCACCAGACCAAACCGTTCGAATAAGTATGGGTCACCTGCATGTTGGGTTGGTGTGTCCTGTACAGGGTGAGTTCATCCTGCTTTGATTGCTTCCCGATACTGTACTGAGTGCTCATTAAACACGTCGTTGCTGGAGAACAAAAACTCCAACAATGAACTAGACATAACTATTTATATGATGGTTATAAATATAATGTAAGCACACACACACAAGCAAGAAACATTTGAGATAACCTCACCAGGTTTTCCGCAATTCCTTAATGCAGTTTAGACCAGCAAGTAGCTGATTCAGTCTCCACGCATATGAGTGAACCTGACTCAGAGGCCCCCTTCAATGTTTTAGAAAACGGCTCCTGAAGAATCTAACACAACCTCCAAGGTGTCTTTTGAGCATATCCAGGAATTTACCCCTGCTGCAGAGCGTCTACGCCATGCAAGATGAAGAACCTTCCTTTGTAAATCCCTGGATTCACGATCTGCGACCACGACAAGGCGTTGCCACTCTGCCCTAGAGCGACCGCGGTACCTTTGCGCATCAGCAGCGGAACGGAATACTTTTTCAGCCGGCGGCCATCCAGCATGGTCGGAACGCTGCTGCACTTCTTGAGTTCGCCGAGCGTGAAATACCCGTCCAGCACATTAATGAGACCCATCTTCTCGAACTTGATAGATTGCTTCGCGCTCGGGGCGGCGCCCGTTTTAATGAGCGTGCCGAGCCCGGCCGGTCCGAGCGCCGCGTTCTGCGGGACGAGAACGGTTTTCTGGTCGACTTGGGATAGGTCCTCATCATCGGGAATGTCGTCTGCGAGCACGAAGATCATGGTGGACGATGGAGGAAAGGGGGAACAGGGGAGGAAGTTAAGGAAAGGGGAAAATGAACGAAGGACATTCCATTCAAGATGGCACGAGAGAACCATGAGTGAATGCAAACCTTCGTAGGAGAACCTGTTTCGCGTACCCAGTTTCGGAAGGGCTTGATCTATGGCGGTGGCGACGAGCGAGTACTGTCCCAGGTACTTCAACTGCGATATGGATCTGCGCGCATTCTTAAGCTCGCTAATCAGCGCGGATTTCGTCACCTCCGCTTCCGCTACGCACACGAGAAGAGCGAGAAAAGCGCAGAGTATGAAGGGCCGGGGCGACATGGCGATGCGTGATGGCGAACGGACAGGGGTGAGAGGGAACGAGACTCTCGGAAAGCTTCTCCGAAGAATGGGGTTTTGTGGATACTGACGTAGAGTACGCTACGAGGTTTAGAACCGTTCAACGAGAAGAAAAGAGACACTAGATTTGCTGACTTTCTTACGAAAGCTCGTTCTTTATACACATGCTCCTCTCTGGATAACGGGCGTCCGCTCAAAGAAGCAAAATGCTGGTAAAATTCGCGTAGTTCGGAAGAAAGGAGTAGGACAGCCTACGAGGTGAAGCCTCTCGAACAGGACTACGACCACCAGCGCATAATGCGGTGCATGCAGTTCTTTATGTTTCCCGAGCCGCATGGCATCCGAAAAGGGTTTACCTTTTGTGCCGGCGGGCACCTGACATGACGGACCAATGGATTGAACAGACCTTCCAGGAGTTTCTGAAATGTTTTTCTACATGCACGTAACAGAACATGAGTGTGGGAGGGAGTGGATATCGACGCCATTTCTTGGAACCGCTTCACCCGCCACGTCACTACCACATGCTTCCACGCGGAGGGGAGGTGGGCACGACGGGGAGGGTGGAGGGAGGGGAGGGGGGGGGAGGGAGGGGAGGGGCGGGGGAAGGGGGAGGGGCGGGAGGAGTCTGAGGGGGAAGGTAACACCTGGAAAGTTGCGACCTGAAATGAGAGACCGCAGCGGAAGGGTTCCCTCCATCTAACCCCCCTGGCGCAACAACAGCAGGCATACGCGTGAAATGCGCTTGGTGGCCAGGTGGTCAGCGGAAAGGGCAACAAAGGCTGTTCTTTGTAGAGTGCTGCCTACAATGTAATTCCGGGTATATCTGTCTACCCACCCTGCAATAGGGGGACTGAATGGAATTAGTTTCTCCCATTTCATGACCCATTCAAGTTGTTACGAACAGCTATTTCGTAACAAGCTACCGCATTGCAAAAACTGCAAGACTGTGGGCGATCCCTTAAAGCCCGAGTCCCAAATTGCGGGCCGCGCGGGTCAAGCTTTTAAAACTTGACGAACTAGTGTTTTCAAGGTTTGAAGAAAAGCGTGCCTGCAATTTGGGACTTTTGGGAACTGAACCAACCCCCAGGGCGAAATACGAGGGCGGGCTGGGTTTGGCGAAAAAAACGAAAAAAGCGAAATCGGAATCTTTCGCCAAAACCCTCACCACAAAAACCCCCTCGCGTCAACCTTTTAAAACTTGTGCAATTTGGGCTGCCGGCTTTAATCGGCAATCAATGTATGTTCATTCTTAAAGCCGGCAGCCCAAATTGCACAAGTTTTAAAAGGTTGACGCGAGGGGGTTTTTGTGGTGAGGGTTTTGGCGAAAGATTCCGATTTCGCTTTTTTCGTTTTTTTCGCCAAACCCAGCCCGCCCTCGTATTTCGCCCTGGGGGTTGGTTCAGTTCCCAAAAGTCCCAAATTGCAGGCACGCTTTTCTTCAAACCTTGAAAACACTAGTTCGTCAAGTTTTAAAAGCTTGACCCGCGCGGCCCGCAATTTGGGACTCGGGCTTTAAGAAACATGTTCGGAAGTCACTTGTGGGCTGGATTAGGACGCGACAGTCCCGAACGCGACCTCAGACTCGTGCACTCGTGGTGACTCTCCTATCAGCCATTGAAGAATGTATGAGGCATGTACAGTGCATGGCTTGACCGCATATTAGAAGTTATATAATAAGCATCATATATATGTCTCTGACCTTGGACCAGAATTGCGGTGGAGCACTCATTTCCTGAATTTGGAAAATCGTGTCTGCATTTGACATATCAACTAGCCGTTGATATGATTTATTCAAGCATATCTCTCATTGCACCTCTAGAGTGGTGAGGCTACGAGTGAGCATCAAATGAGAAGTTCCCGAGCCCAATCAGGAGTTTACGGCTGCTGAAGAGCATCAACGCCATGCACGATGAAGAACGTCCCGCGGTGAATTCCCGGATTCACGATCTGCGACCACGACAAGGCGTTGTTACTCTGCCCTAGAGCGCACGCGGACCCCCTGCGCATCAACCACGGCACGAAATACCTTTTCAGCCGGCGGCCCTCTAGCAAGGTCGGGACGCTTCTGCTGTGTTTGATATCATGATACGTGAAAGCACCGTCCAGCACATGAAGAAGGGCCATGGTAGCGAATTTGACTATCTGGTCCGGGTTTGGGGTCCCGCCGGTTTGGACCAGCGCGCCGACTCCGGCCGATCCGAGCGCCGCGTTTTGCGGGATGAGAATGGTCTTCTGGCCGAGTACGGAGAGGTCCGCGTCCTCCGGAAAGCTGTCTGTGAGGCGGTAAGTCGGTGAGAAGGGGGAAGGTTTGGAAGGGGTGGTACTAGTGGATGGTTCAGGGATATGGAAGAGAATGGCAGGGGAGGAAGGCCTAAAAGCGCAATCCATTAAATAACGACATTATCATCGATCACGAGTGCACGAAAACTCTTCAGGGAGTAGCTTGGAACCTGGAGGTGTTCTCGCACCTAGTTTCGGAAGGATTTCATTAATGGCGGTTGCGACGAGCGTGTATCTTCCCAGGTATTTAAAGTGCGTCATGGCGAGCCGCATGTCCTGAAGCTCCTTGATCAGCGTAGCTTTCGTTGGCTGTGCTGCCGCGGCGCAGACGAGAAGAGAGAGAAGCGCTCCGACGATGAGGCGCTGGAGCGACACGACGTCGCGTGTCTTCATGGCGAATGAACAGGGGTGAGAAGGGACGAGAGGGCTGTCCAGGCGAACGCGGTTGCGAGTGATGTTGGCGCTGCTGAGAAATGCGACGCTAATGAACGGCTCAACGAGCAAATGAAGAGAAGACAGACTACTGCCTTTTTGTCGGAAAATTTCTCCTAGTATGTGGGCTTGTCTCTGGCTAATAAGCCTGGCACAAACTCGTGTAGCTGTGTTTCAGTCAAACGCGCGTGCATTGGTTGGAAGGAGCATGACAGCTTTCTGCTAGGCGAGGGCTCTCTCGACATCCCCAGGACATAAATCCGTGGGGCCAACATCATAGACATGCAACTTAGTCTGGTAACCCTATGCAATGGTATGCAAAACCGTCTTACCTCAGTTTTGGAGTTATTGACAAGCTGTCCTAGTAGCGCGTTCTTTTTTATTTTTTAGCTTATGACTACCGCGTTTGACTTCCCACTAAAACGTGATTTTTTCGGGCCAAGAAAATAATAAAACCCAATCGGAAAGGATGCGTCAGGGAGGCATCAACCCTAAAACTATGTCCTTTCCCGTGTTTAGGGTTGATCCCTCCCAGAAATGCGTCCAGGTCGCTAGGGGTTTTATTGTTTTTCAGCCCTGCCCTAACAAATGCAGGTAGCAATTTATTGGGTGCAATATATTCTTTCAAAATGGACCCCGTGTCATACGGGCGCAACAAACGCAGGATGCGGCGAATAAGATGAGACCGGGGAGATCATCCGAAGCGACTGCAGGGAGTTCGCTTGGTTGGACCGGAATCGCCACAACACGCCGCCACAGTTGAGGAGGGGAGGGGGAAAGGGGGAGGAGGGAAAGGGGGTGGGTGAGCAACCTTGGTTGCGGAACAGGCCGTGATTAGGATGTTTCAGCAGGGCCATTTTCAGGTGTAATCCACACGTGCCAGGAAATATACTCATGTGTAATCCAGGTTACTGTGCAGATACGAACACCATATTCAGTGTAAAGAATTTCGGTCGAATTTTCCATATTACACGAGATCCGATTCAAAATAACACAAACAGTCTGAATCCAAAGCGATTTCGGATCACGCCAAGCAAAATTTTAATGGTCACGTCATATTTGCCCAATTTCGACGACAATTTATGCTTCGCATCAGGAGTTTTCTGAAAGAAATATTATGCGAGATTAGCTGTTCTGTTGACGCAGATGACGGAAGCTGCGCAGGGCAAATCGGCATTCCCTTCTTGGGCGTGCACCCCGAAACACGAGAAAACTGCCCGGGTGATAACAAAGTTTGCCCTCATCGTAATAAATTCCATGCTGGATTCTATATCCCACAAGACGTCGCCACCAGAAAAATAAAGATTTATTTATGGTCATCATGTAAATTCATTTTTTGGCGGCGTCGTTCAGTGCGGAAACAAAATTCTGCTTGTTATTTATTACAGTGAGGGTAAACTTATTATCACCCGGGCAGTCTTCTCGTGTTTCGGGGTGCACGCCCAAGAACGGAATGCTGATTTTCCCTGCGCAGCTTCCGTCACCTGCGTCAACAGTACAGCTGATCTTGCATAATATTTATTTCATAAAAATTCTGATGCGAAGCATAAATTGTTGTCGAAATTGGGCAAATATGACGTGACCATTAAAATTTTGCTTGGCGTGATCCGAAATCGCTTTTGATTCAGACTGTTTGTGTTATTTTGAATCGGATCTCGTGTAATATGGAAAATTCGACCGAAATTCCTTACACTGAATATGGTGTTCGTATCTGCACAGTAACCTGGATTACACATGAGTATATTTCCTGGCACGTGTGGATTACACATGAAAATGGCCCTGTTTCAGCATCTGACCTGGTTACAACGCAAGGCGCTTGAAGTCGCCTTGGCGAGAAAATATTTGACTTTCGGGTGGTGGTCGGGACTCCAAGGAAGGGGCAGGATGGGAGGGAAGACCAGGTGGGGCAGATAAATCACCACGTTGCCGGGTTCCTGATTACGATGTACTTTACTTACATTAAATGTATGTGCCCATACATCCACAGGTACTTTCTACACATCGACTGTCAGTAATAACGGACTGGAATGATGGACTAGAAAGGATTGTGAGTACAAATATGAAACCTTCATGTTGTGACCCCCCTATAGGCTAACCCACTACAGCCTACTCAAATACAACATATACAATGTTTGACACACCCCCATAGGCAAGGTGGGAGAGACCTAGGGGTCACAAGACCAGTCAAGGCAAAGCAAGGCAACAACAAGCTCAGGGTGGATCTCAAGGATTCCACACAAATTCCGAGCACAAGCTAGTGGTCACAAGACCAGTTCACATGCAGATTTATAACAGAGCAAGAGATACAGTGATCACAACCTAGCAAGAGTAAACATGCAGGTAGATATATATATAGTGATCACAGTACAAGCAAGGTCAAGAGGTAAGTAAGTGAGGTCCAGTAGGCACAAGGCCTAGTAGAGTGCAGAAGCGCTGATGGTCACAAGGCTGAAGCGCCTTGGTGAACACATCAGCAGTGTTGGCCTCAGTGGCCACGTAGCGAATACAAAGCTGACCGCGCTGCTGTAGCTCTCGAGCAAGGAAGTACCGCAGGGCAATGTGCTTCGTTCTGTGCTCCAGTCTGTGCTCCTCACACAAGGCAATGGCAGCCTTGTTGTCGACGTACAGCACTGGAGGAGAACGAGGCCGCTCTCCCAGGTCGGTCAGCAGGTAGGTCAGCCAGCGTAGCTCCTGGGCAGCCATGGCTGTGGCGTAGATCTCAGCCTCGCAACTGGAGCTGAGAACAGAAGAAGAACGTGTAGAGCGCCAAGAAACTGAGCCAGAACCAAGGCTGAAGGTGTAACCCTGAGACGACCGCTGAGTAGCCTGGTCGTCTGCCCAAGAAGCGTCTGAGTGCCCTGTGAGAACAACTCGGTCGCGCCCTCCAAGCACAAGCCCCATGCCCGACGTACTGCACAAGTAGCGCAACACCCTCTTAGCGGCATCCATGTGCTCCTTCCTGTGACGGCCAGGAGCGACATAGCATGCAAGGATGCTAAGAGGGTATGCCAGGTCAGGTCGAGTGCAGGTCATCAGGTACATGAGGCAGCCCACAAGCTCTGGATACGGGCCACTCGGCTCTACGGACTCATCCGAAGGCAGAGCTGAGAGCGAGTGACCGGTAGACAGAGGAGTGGACTGAGGCGAGGAGTACGTGAAGCGGAAGCGCTGGAGGATCTGCTGCACCATGTGTGACTGAGTCAAGGTGATGGTGCGCCGTGCTCTGTCCCGGGTGATCCGCAAGCCAAGATAGCTCGTCAGTTCACCCAGGTCTGTGCACGTGTGTCTCCTCTGCAGCTCCGACTTCACGTGGGCGAGTGCCGCAGTGTCAGCCGTGGCAAAGACCAAGTCGTCGACGTACACGAGGATGTAGAACGGCGGCAGCGAGGTGTCGGTGCGTAGAAACAGTGACGGGTCAGCAGTAGAGGGCGCGAACCCAAGAGCCGCAAGTGTCGTCCTCAGTGTGTCGTGCCACTCACGTGGCGCCTGGCGGAGACCGTAGACCGGCCGCTGGAGCCTCCACTGGGTACCAGGAGGAACCGACCCAGTGAAGCCAGGTGGGCGACGTAGCCAGATCTCCTCGTGCAGGCTGCCCTGCAAGAAAGCAGTGCTGAAGTCAAGTGAGTGAAGCTCGTAGTCGCGGTGAGCGGCTATGTGCAGCAGCACCCGAAGAGTGGTCATCTTCGGGGTGGGGGAGAAGGTCTGGAAGAAGTCGACTCCCTCTCGCTGACTGAAGCCTCGAGCAACATAGCGCGCCTTGAAGACAGGAGGAGAACCCGGCGGCCGCTTCACCCTGAAAATCCACATGCCACTGACGATGTTCGCTCCAGGAAGGGGAACCTCGTCGACGTAGGTGCGTGTGGACTTCCAGGAAGCCATCTCGGCGTCCATGGCTGTCTGCCACTGAGAGGAGTAGGGACCCGCCATCGCCTCAGCGTAAGTGCGCGGGGTCGGGATGTCTGGTGCATCCGGGTCTCCCTCAGGGGCAACTAGCAAGGACACGAGACGGGGCAAGACAGCAGCAAGGCACTGGAACTCCTCCTGTCTGTCCTCAAGGACGTCCGTGCCAAGAGCACACTCACCCCCGACGGACGGAGGACAGACAGACTCAGACGCAGACTCAGCGACAAGGCTAGCAGCGTAGTCTAGACGACAGGCAGCAGCAAAGTCAACCAGCTCAGCGACTAGAGCAGACGCAGCAGAGGACTCAAAGGTAGGGTCAGTGACAACAGTAGCGAGGAGACGCGTGACAGTGGGACTGGCAGCACGACGGGAGTCAGACTCCGGGTCAGGAAGAGTAGGAAGAGAGGACGCAGGAGGAGACGGCAGAGGGACACGCTGAGGAGCAGTAGAGCGACGCAGAGTCATGTAATGAGTGCCAGGGACAGGAGGAGGACGCTGGCGTGGGACACGACGACCAGTGCACGCAGTACGAACAGGCGACGCAGGACGAGACTCAGGCTCACGACGCTCTGTAAGACCTCCTGTGGGACCAGCGTAGAAACGAGAGTCGGTGACAAGAGCGGCGAGAACACGCGAGACAACAGGATGAACGGCACGGTAGTAGTCAGAGATAGGGGTAGGGTGGACAGGAAGAGAGAACAACAACGAGAAGAATAAAATAGGGCAGTGTGGAGGTCGGTAACGGGGGACGAGGGACGAGCACGCAGAGGACAACGAGTGGTCCAGTCAAGCGAGACAGCAGGAGGAGAAGACGGTGACCGAGGAGAACACCATACAGCAGGAGAGGCGTCAGGAGGAGGAAACGTAGGGCCAAAGGCCGAGGGAGACGGAGAGTGGACAGGAGAAGAGGAGGGAAGACCAAGGGCCCGCAGGCCACTCAGGGGTGGGAACAAGTGCCGCTCTAGAAGGAGCCGCTACGGCTGGTGGTGCTGCTGCTGCTGCTCCTGCAGGTCCAACTTTCGCAGCTTCTGTCTCTCCTGCTCCAATCGCTCCTCCTCCTCACGCTCACGCCGACGAGCCGTCTGGAGACGCGTGTCGTGGCGGTGGGGAGGCGGAATGGGCACCGCAGAAATAGTGTCGCCAACTCCAATCTCCTCGGAAACAGCACCCCCAGTGCCAGCATCTCCAATGGCAGCGCCCCTAGTGTCAGTGCCTCCAGCTCCAGCATCCCCGAAACTAGCACCTCCTGCATCGAACCCCCAGAACTAGCACCTTCAGTGCCAACACCTCCATCTCCAGCACCCCCAGAACTAGCACCTCCAGTGCCAGCACCTCCAGCTCCAGCACCTTCCGAACGAGCACCTCCACTTGCAGCACCTCCAGTTCCAACACCCCCACAGTCCACAGGAACCCGAGAGACCTCGACAGGGGTAGCGCGCGTAATAGGACACTGTCTCGACAAACCGGACGTCACGGGAGTTTAGGAACTGGTGGGTGTTGGATACCTCTAGGACCAGGGGTGTAAAGGTAAGGGTCGTAGGATTATCTTAAAGTTAGAACGCAATGGAATAGTATTACTAGGAAGGCAAAGCAGTACAAATAGGAAACCCTAACTGAGTTGTACTCGCTAAGGAGCACCTCACTGCAGCCTATAACAAATCATAACATTTGACAGAGAAACCCCCGTTGGTATTACCTCTGCTTTCAGTCGTAACCCACCTACCCACAAATTTACACGACTCGCTGGGCATTGAGGTAAGGACTATCCATTCCCTAGTGTGTGCAGAAAGTCACTCTTCACCGAGAGCTGTACTACCGGGGGAAGCACGTATGTTATTAGTGTTTGTAGCGTTTGCTCGTGTTCTCTTTACTTGCGCATTCACAGAGAGAGTTGCCAAGAGTTTCATTAGCAAAAGTTCGGATACAATGATGGGAATAGCAATGGGAACAATCGAAAGGTGACAGCATTAGATGAACGGTGACATAGCAGACAGACAAATCGACCTCCAGTGCAGCAAGTCGGCGGCTTGCTAGCGTAGCAAGTCGGAGGCGTGCCAGTGCAGCCCGTAGGCGCCTTGCTAGCATAGCAAGTCGGCGATCTGCCAGCGCTGCACTAGGGCAGCTTGTCAATGCTGAAGCAAGGGGGCTTGCCAGCGTCGCAATCGCAGATGACTATATCGCACACCCGCACAACCACTTTGCATGTGTGGGTCGATGGTTGAGCACGTCCTGCTCCATCGCACTCCTCCTGCAGACACCTGGTCGGCCACGAGCCATCAATTGCGCTCGATACACCACGACGACCTTGGGATACCAGCTTGTTAAAATAGTAGGCATAGCTAGGACTAGAAGCTTAGGGTTTAACCTAGGCATGAGGGAGATGTCCAAGCAAGAAGGGGTTGAACTATAGAATCAAAAGTACAAATAGAGAAGCATGCAAGGAGTGGTGCACCACCACACAGGACAACTATGGGACTACACTACAGCTAGAACTACATGCACTTATACAAAATATATATAGAAAATATTCTGGCACACCCCCTAAGTGCATGCAGGAATAGCCATGTGCAGAACACCCCCTGAAGTGGTACACCCTGCAGGGCGCAGCAGAAGAAGAGGCGAAGTGAGGAGGAGGAGGAGGAGGAACTGTGAGAGGAGAGGAGATAGGAGGCGGCGGCTGAAGCTGCTGGCACACGGGCTACTGGAGCAACTGGCACACTGGCTACCGGAGCAAGGGCATCCGGACTACTGGAGTAACTGGCTCCGCGGCTAAGACGAGCGGCTGGAGCAACGGACCCACGGGCGACTGGAGCGACGGGCTCACGTGCTACAGGAGCTAGAGGCATCCGGACTACTGGCGCTGCTGGCTTCAAGTGAGCTACCTCCGTTCAACTCCCCCCATTGCCCCACACCCCCTTCTGTAACACTAGCGCCACTCCCTCGGCTCCCCCCACACTCCCTCGGCTCCCCCCACACCCTCCCCCTCACAGCGGCAGCTGAAGCAGTGGGAGAGAGAGGAGGAAGAGAGGCAGCTTACTCACACCCGCCACCCCCATACCCGCCACCCCCATACCCGCCACCCCCATACCCTCCCCCCACTGCTGCACGCGCAGCAGGGAGAGGAAGGAGAAGGGGGAGGGGGGGGGGGAGAGGGGGGGCGGGGGGGCGGGGTAGGAGCTGCGCGGGCGACAGTAGGGTGCGCTGGCGGGTAGAACCCGTCGCGCGTCCAGGGCGCGCGACGGGCAGAAACCGTCGTGCGCACGAGGCGCACGACGGGCAGGAACCGTCACACGCCTGAGGCGCGCGGCGAACAAAAAACCGTCGCGCATCTAGGGTGCGCAACGGGCACGAAATCGCCGCACGCCTGGGGCGCGCGACAAGCAGAAAATCGACGCGCGCCCGGGGCGCGCGACGGGCAGCAGAGGGGCCCATGAGCGGAAGCGTAGTAGGCACAGGATCGATGTGCTCTAATACCATGTTAAAATAGTAGGCATAGCTAGGACTAGAAGCTTAGGGTTTAACCTAGGCATGAGGGAGATGTCCAAGCAAGAAGGGGTAGAACTAGAGAATCACAAGTACAAATAGAGGAGAAGCATGCAAGGACTGGTTCACCACCACACAGGACAACTATGGGACTACACTATAGCTACAACTACATGCGCTTATACAAAATATAATATAGAATATATTCTGACACAGCTGTCAGGTCGACTTCGCCAAAACCCCATAGGCGACGTCCTTGCACCCCCGCAGAACCCCGTCACCCTGGTTACTCGATCGAATGGGAAAACCGAAGGTCTGCGCTGTTGCATTAGATAGACGGCGCCCGCTAGTTGATGCACACACCGACCGCCGATTTTACCAAGTCGCGTCCCCGCAGGTCGACAAACTTCTTCAACGATCACACCAGTCGTTGTCAACCGTCGACCTCCTTCATCGGCGACTTCATAGTGGTGTCGCGTAGGTCGACCAAGTCTGTCGACTCTGTCACCTAAGTCTGCGTCAACCGCTGCAGGATGCGACATTCTAGTGGCTCCTCCCTCGCTTGGGCGAAGCCAATTTCGCAATCGGGTTTCGCGGGAGGTGCAGCCACATTTTACTGATTGGGCCACTCCAGGATGCGGCATGGGAAGGCAACAAAATGTGTTGCAGTTCTCCCAGGGGTTTACGTTTCCGTAAACCTTAAACCTCAAACATAGCTGGCGAATACTTTCCCGAAAGGATTAGAGCACTTTTTTATGGGTCTAATTTATTCTTATGATGCCAAGTAGCGTACGATGACGTCCATGTACTCCACTAATGTCAGGCATAAGTGTATCGAGGATTTTCGTTGTTAGGGCCAAGCAAACAATTTCGCAGCTGCCCCCTCGCCATTGGCCCCACGTGAGACGGATGGTGCGCGAATTCAGAGTTACTTGGCAGTGTGCCTTTACACCACAAGGCCCTACCCAACGGGGCAACTCTTCGATCCCTCCCTTGCTGACGTGCCAATTGCTGAATTCGTTTGCCATGAGTAGCCAGTCACAAACCTCGTTATAGCGCGCCTGCCCGAACCACTCACAATTTTCACCAATGCAAGGCCCACCTTTCTCCTGAAGCTCAAGAAAATCCGTGTAGGCTGCCCAAGATGCAATATCTGTCCACCCTGCTGCCCTGATAGATAACTTCAGTTGCGCGTGCGAAGTGAAACTGGTTGTCCAATCTCCCAAATCCCCTCCTGCCCTTCGGGCCGATTCGACTGACCTCGGCTTTCGCAAAACTTCGATTCCTGCTCCACACGCCTCCCTGTCTCTCCCGTCCCGTCCACCCTCGGTTACTCCAAAATCTTCCCAACCAATCGGCTTCTCCCGCGTTCCCGTAACCGCGCTCCGCTCCGCTGTGTTCCAAACCAAAACACACCCCGCCTCTCGTGCATACCAACCACACCAGCGCTAAGGCGCAGACGTTCGATGCGCTGATTTTCGCTCGGCTCCGCCCGTCATCAGAGTTGTTCCTCCGCCCGCCAAGCTTCTCTGCTCACTTCTTTTTCCCACCACAAACAAGGCAAGCCCACTCCGTGCTCGGGGAACAATTCTGTGACTGGCGAGCTGAAGAACGCAGCACACTCCGAATTGAAAGCATAAGAAGTGCTAGCGCAAACAGACACTCGTTGACTGTAGAAAAGCGAGTAAGGCTAGCTGGAGCATCGACGGTACCTGGTAAACCAGAGCTCGCAAAATCAAGAAGCAGAACTGACGCCATTGTGCAATGGCTGCCTCTCTAGCGTCTCGCTCTGGTGCCGGTGCCGTCTACTCCACCGCCTTGACAGCAGTGGCCGTCGGTCAAGAACCGTCGGCCGTCTGCTCGCAGCCTGTCCGAAAGACGCTCGGCTTTCCAGCCGTTCGCCAATTTTCGATTCTCGTGGAGAGCCGAGGTCTTGCGGATAGAGGAAGCAACACACAGAGACGAATTGCCCAGGTAACGGACGTCGGTTTTCCGTCGATAGTTGACGGTTTTCCGTCGATATTTGACGGTTTGCCGTCGATAGTTGACGGTTTTCTTACGCACACACTGCGCCGTCTTGCACGTGCTCAAGCTAAAAACGCTTCACTCTTTGAGAACCTTATGTTTCTCCTACGTCCGCTCGGGCTCTTCAAGAACGGCTGCCTCGCAACGCATCTCCGTAATGTTTATCCTTGTCAACTACGGCTCCACTTGCTCCCTCCTTCTCTCTCCCTCTCCCATCCTTTTTCCCTCCTCTCCTCCATCGCCTCGGCGTGCGTCGTTCGCGGTCTTTGTCACAGTTCTCCCCTTTCTAGGGCCTCTGAGGACTCCTTCTCCCGCGCCTTCACCCGTTCGCGTGTAATTAGCCGAGTTTTGAGTCGACCCAAAACTCGGCGTGCGTCGCTCACGGTTTTTTTCCACATTTCTCCCCTTTCCTAGTACCTGTGAGGACTCCTTTTACCTGTTTTTGAGTCTGACTCAAAAACAGTCTCGGCGTGCGTCGTTCACGGTCTTTGCCACAGTTCTCTCCTTTCCTTAAGCCTCTGAGGACTCCTTATACCGCACCTTCTCCCGTTCAAGTTGCAGAACCCGAACTGGTTCGGAGGCGCGAGGTTGCTGAGAAAGCTCCTGATACCTACCAGTTCCTGGCTGTTGTGTCCGTAACGCTTCGCCGTTAGCTCATTCAACTTTAATCAACGCCATAATCTCTCTCTTCTCCTAGAAATTTCCTTTTCCATGCCTTTCCCATTCCCGTTTTCTGCCCCTTGTTATGGTCACGCAGCAATCGTCTCTGCTTCTGGCTCAAACCCGAAGGTCGTTTACAGCGCGCCAAGCCGCCTCGCTAACGTGCCGCGCCAGCAGCGGGCTTGAGGCTGTAGCGGACCCAGTTTCCGCTCACGGGGAAGCGACACCCTCCGCGCAAAGCGCGCCCGCTTCCCCCGCTGCTGACATTCACACTGCCGCAAATGGCGCAACTAACGGCGCGGCGTCCCTTAACGGGTCGGCTCTTAACGGGTCCGCGTTGGGAGCGGCCACTAACGGAGCTACTAATGGCTCCGTGAACGGCTCGACAAACGGTTCGTTGAACGGCTCGGCAAATGGCTCGGTGAACGGCTCGGCAAACGGCTCGGTGAACGGCTCGGCGAATGGCTCGGCAAACGGCTCGTTAAACGGCTCGGCGAACGGGAACGGGAAGAGTGCGGTGGGCGTGCAGTCATTGGAAGTGCCCCTGAACGATATCGACGAGGAGGTATCCGGTGCCGCTGACGCCGCTAGCCTTGGCGTTTACACGGAGAGTGCTGGCGGAGCGGCGGCGGCGGAGGATGCGAGCTACTACGAGTGAGTGGGTTGGTGGCGTGGGTGGCGTGTGATTGGCGTGGGTGGCGTGTGATTGGCATGGCTGGGCGGGTGGGTGAGTGGCGCGGCTGGCGGGTGATTGGTGTGGCCGGCGGGTGATTGGTGTGGCCGGCGGGTGATTGGTATGGCCGGCGGGTGATTGGTGTGGCCGGCGGGTGGGTGACTGGCGTGAGTGGCGGGTGATTGGCGTGGGTGGCGGGTGCCGTGCTTTCGGTTAATTGGCGGTTGGCGGGGATTACCGCAATGGTGCGCTGCAAACGGGGGATGGTTAGTTGGTGCGGATTGCTTCGTGTGGCTGGCAGGTGGGGGGGAGACAGCGGGACTGTCAGCTGTTCTACGGAGACGATTCCGTTAAGCTGGAAGCATGCATCGTGCGTCGTGCGTCGTGCGTCGTGCGGCCTTTCTCTATGCGCCGAGCTGTGCGGCGCTCTCGATTACCTGCTGAAAGACTATTTGCTGCCCGTCTCCCCCCCCCCTCTCCGCAATCCACCCATCGTTCCCCTCCCCTGCTCCACACCATCTCGCGCACCCTCTCGCCCTTGTCGCTTTCCTCTTCATCACAGCACAGTTGATATTCCATCCATCCATGCCCTACCTTCATCCCCATCTCCCTCTTCGCCCTCCTCTCCGACCCCACTTTCCCTCTTCTTCCCAACCGCTTCGCCAATCTTCTCCCCATGGTCCTCCCCTTCCCTGCCCCTTCCCCTCTCCCCCCCCCCCGCCCCTCCCCTTACCTGGAACCCCCTAGGCCCGCATTCCAGCTGCTCGCAGCTTCCAAGATGATTCCTCACCCCGCTAAGGTACCACCCCGCGCTTCCCGCTCTTACTCTCTTCTCCCTCGCTCCCCGTGCTTCCAGGCTACCCCTCTCTCCTCCGTCTCCCCTCCCCCTCTCCTTCCTCTCTCCCTTCGTACCCCTCCCTCCCCTCGTTCCGCGGCACCCCCCCTCCGCATCCCTCGTCCCGTCTCCTTCCTTTCTTCCGCCTATCTCTCTATCTCCCGCCCACTCTTTTGTCCCGTGCTCGTGATCTCCTTTGTTCGCTTCTCGTTTGCTCCTTCCACTCTCTTTTCCCCGCGCGCGTTTCTCGCGCCTACCCGGTTTCTGAACGATACCTGCTCCGCGCACCCGCTCCCGCACCATCTGTGTCTGCTTGCTTCCTTTATTGTTTCCCGTCATCTACCATGCTTCTTCCTCTCTTCACCCCACCCCTCCACATCCCACCTCCGTTTCTTGCGCGTTCGGCATCCCTAATGCATGCCCTTCTCTCCCGTCCCCTCCCCCTCTGCCGCCCCATGTCTTCCCCTTCCCCTCTCGCCCATCCCCCTGTCCCCCCCATTCCCCCTTCCCTTCCCCATTTCCCCTCCCCTTCCCATTTCCCCTCCCCTTCCCCTGTCCCCCTCCCTTCCCCTTTCCCCCTCCCCTTCCCCTTTCCCTCTCCCCTGCCCCCTCCGCCTCCCCGTCCGCCGCTCCCCCGCAGGTGGAGAAGGGCGGGGAGGACGCGGTGCTGATCAGCGACGTGGGCGCGGGGGTGCTTGCAGTCGCGGACGGAGTGGGCGGGTAGGTGGGGGGGGAGAGAAAGGGGGAGCGCGGGCGCAGGGGAAGGGGGGCTTGTGTGGGAAGGGGGTTTCTCTGGGGGAAGGGTTATTTCGTTGGCGGAAGAGGGGGGCAGGGGGTGAAAGGAGCAGGAGAAGGGTTGTTGTAAGGCAGGCGGAGAGAGTAGCTGTATAGGGAGTTGATTTTGGAGATTCCTGAAAGTGAATCATATCTAGCTGTTGAGTGAGTCGATTCAGCGTGATGTGGGTGGGTACGTGTTGTGTAGGGACCAGGATGGAGCGAGGTGATTTGTGAGTCGACTCAGAAGTGTTGTGTATGGCCAGGGTTGTGCGAGGGTTGCTGGTTGGGTTGTTGGTGAGGCGAGGGTGGGAAAAGGGCAGAAGAGGGTCACTGTTGCGTTGCGTGGACTGCAGAAGGGATGTGGCCCGCAACGCAAGAGCAAAATAGGGCGGCGAGGTGCGAGCAGTAGCGGTAGCGCTTGTAGTGGTCGAGTAACTCGAGCTTGCAACCAGGTTGCGGTAGCTGAGGTGATTTCGTTGATTGCTGTGGTTCTTGGGTGATTTCACCCACGCTCCCCCTCCTCCTCTCCCCTTCAGTCGAGCTCCAACGCTCTACTATGAGTTTGTTTGTTTGTTTGTTTGTTTTTTTTTTCCATAATATAGACCTCCTTCTGGCTTTCCTCTCCCTCCTCTTCTCCTCTTCCCCTCCCCCTTGCAGCTGGGCGGAGGACGGTGTGGATCCAGCGCTCTACTCCAACGAGTTCGTGGGACACCTCAACGAAATCATTGAGAACGCGCAGGACCAGGTGCGCAGCACATGCCGCACGCCTAGTGCAGATGCATACGCAAGCCCTGAATCTCCCCCCACTCCCAATCCCTACCCCCGCTCTCTCCCGCCCCCCAATCTTTTTTTATCCTTTGTGTTTTCTTTTGTTTCTCAAGTGACCTCTGCACTTATTGCTGCCTGTGCGCTGATACCCACGTGTGTGCATGGGTGGCTGGGTGGGTGCTTTTGAGTCGACTCAAAAGTGAACGCCTCACCCATTGCTGCCTGTGCGCTGATACCCACGTGTGTGCATGGGTGGCTGGGTGGGTGCTTTTGAGTCGACTCAAAAGTGAACGCCTCACCCATTGCTGCCTGTGCGCTGATACCCACGTGTGTGCATGGGTGGCTGGGTGGGTGCTTTTGAGTCGACTCAAAAGTGAACGCCTCACCCATTGCTGCCTGTGCGCTGATACCCACGTGTGTGCATGGGTGGCTGGGTGGGTGCTTTTGAGTCGACTCAAAAGTGAACGCCTCACCCATTGCTGCCTGTGCGCTGATACCCACGTGTGTGCATGGGTGGCTGGGTGGGTGCTTTTGAGTCGACTCAAAAGTGAACGCCTCACCCATTGCTGCCTGTGCGCTGATACCCACGTGTGTGCATGGGTGGCTGGGTGGGTGCTTTTGAGTCGACTCAAAAGTGAACGCCTCACCCATTGCTGCCTGTGCGCTGATACCCACGTGTGTGCATGGGTGGCTGGGTGGGTGCTTTTGAGTCGACTCAAAAGTGAACGCCTCACCCATTGCTGCCTGTGCGCTGATACCCACGTGTGTGCATGGGTGGCTGGGTGGGTGCTTTTGAGTCGACTCAAAAGTGAACGCCTCACCCATTGCTGCCTGTGCGCTGATACCCACGTGTGTGCATGGGTGGCTGGGTGGGTGCTTTTGAGTCGACTCAAAAGTGAACGCCTCACCCATTGCTGCCTGTGCGCTGATACCCACGTGTGTGCATGGGTGGCTGGGTGGGTGCTTTTGAGTCGACTCAAAAGTGAACGCCTCACCCATTGCTGCCTGTGCGCTGATACCCACGTGTGTGCATGGGTGGCTGGGTGGGTGCTTTTGAGTCGACTCAAAAGTGAACGCCTCACCCATTGCTGCCTGTGCGCTGATACCCACGTGTGTGCATGGGTGGCTGGGTGGGTGCTTTTGAGTCGACTCAAAAGTGAACGCCTCACCCATTGCTGCCTGTGCGCTGATACCCACGTGTGTGCATGGGTGGCTGGGTGGGTGCTTTTGAGTCGACTCAAAAGTGAACGCCTCACCCATTGCTGCCTGTGCGCTGATACCCACGTGTGTGCATGGGTGGCTGGGTGGGTGCTTTTGAGTCGACTCAAAATTGAACGCCTCACCCATTGCTGCCTGTGCGCTGATACCCACGTGTGTGCATGGGTGGCTGGGTGGGTGCTTTTGAGTCGACTCAAAAGTTAACGCCTCACCCATTGCTGCCTGTGCGCTGATACCCACGTGTGTGCATGGGTGGCTGGGTGGGTGCTTTTGAGTCGACTCAAAAGTGAACGCCTCACCCATTGCTGCCTGTGCGCTGATGTCCACTCCACGTGTGTGTGTGTGTGTGTGTGTGTGTGTGTGTGTGTGTGTGTGTGTGTGTGTGTGTGTGTGTGTGTGTTTGTGTGTGCGTGCATGGGCGGCTGGCTGGCTGGCTGGGTGCATGCAGGACGACTTGGAGCCCAGGGAGCTGTTGAGAAAAGCCCACAGCATGACCAAGTCTCCAGGCGCCGCCACCGCGTAAGTGCCCTGCCCTTAGTGCTCCCTTTCCTTCCCTCTGCATTTCCCCCTGCCTTCCCCCTGCCTTTCTCCTCATAGCGTCCGTATATGCTCCTCTCAGGTCTTTTTGTAGCCTCCAACACCCACCTCCCGCAGCGTAGATATCTCTGCCTCCCTGTTCCCCCCTCCGGGATCTGCTTGCTGTTTAGATTCTTTCCCGTGGTTGCTGTTCTTGACTCTCACCCTTTCTGCCCTCCCTTGCCTTGTTGTTTCCTTGACGTTTCACATGATTTCTTTCATGGTATACGTTGAACGAGGCCTTATTCTCCTGACTCTCTCTACACACTTACCCTCTTTCTCTCTCTCTCTCTTGCTCCTCTCCATCCTTCCTCCCTCCTCACAACCCACCCCCACTTTCGCCTCCTCCCCCGCTCCCAACCCTCCTCCTCCATGCGTCCATCACAGAGTGGTGGCGGTGTTGGACTTGACGGCGAGTACAGTGTGCTCAACGTGGCGTTGCTGGGCGATGCATGCAGTGCAGGTCGTGCAGGTGGTGCGCGGCAGCGAGGTGGTGCGCACACCAGTCCCGCTCTCCCTCACCCTCTCTCTTGCTCCTCCTGTTCCACCCTCTTCCCTCGTCCCCCCCACCCCCTCTCCTGTCCCTCCTCCACTCCCTTCCCTCCTCCCCCACCCTCCTTCGTCTCCCCTTCCCCCTTCCCCCCCCCTCTCTCTCCCACTCCCGTAACCCTCTCTCCCGCCTGTCACAGGGTGGTGGCAGTGTTTGACGGCGAGTACAGTGTGCTCAACGTGGCCTCTCTCGGCGATGCGGGCGTGCGCGTGGTGCGGGGCAGCGAGGTGGTGCACAAGACCACACCCCATGAGCACTTCTTCGACTGCCCCTACCAGTTCGGCTCTGAAAGCTCCGACTCTGCTGATGACGCTGAGGTGAGGGGAGGGGGGTGAGGGCCTGGGGGGTTCGATGGGGGATGGGAATGGGGGGGGAAGGGAAGGGGGAAGGGGGGGGTGCATGAGAGGAAGGGGAAGGGGATGGGGATGGGGATTGGTAGGGGGGGACGGGGAGGCGAAGGGGGAAATGCATGAGAGAGAGGGAAGGGTGGTGCGGGGCAGCGAGGTGGTGCACAAGACCACGCCCCACGAGCACTTCTTCGACTGCCCCTACCAGTTCGGATCTGAAAGCTCTGATTCCGCTGATGACGCTGAGGTGAGTGGGACGGGTGGGGGCCCTGGGGGTGTGGATGGGGGATGGGGATTAGGGGGAGAGGGGAGGGGGGAAGGGGGGGGGTGCATGAGAGGAAGGGGATGGGGATGGGGATGGGGATGGGGATGGGT